ATTATAAGAGGGTTATTTTAAACACTATATATATATATATATAAAGTAATTAATCTAATATTTATTTAAGATAAAATTGTGCCACTGTCAAATAAAATACAATCATTGATGATTTAACTAAAATTTATTTTTAATTAATTTTATAAATATTCCCACATTCTTTAATACACTTGTACAATCTCTCTTTGAAGATATATATAAAATAATGAAAGTGATAACTTACAAACTATATATAATTATCCATTTAATTAAGAAATTAAATTACAAAATAATATTTTAATTTAGTTTCTTTTTATACCCAGTGTTTACGCAAACAGTTTGCAAGAAAATATCCCTTTACAATATTTTGTATCATTCATCAGTTTTTCTGTAAATTCTTTGGCATAAATATTTGTTCACCATTGTGTCTGAAAATACATGTAATATAAGAATCCCTAATTCGTGTTTTATATAATATTTAGGCATATTATTCCATTATAAACGGTAACAGTAAGCAAAATGTACTTTAACTTCCACTCTATCGTGTAACTTCATTCTACCGTTCAATGCCAAAATTTTTTATGATTGGAAATGTTTAAAGATGGATAATGACTCATCAGCTTTGACAATATACTTTGTAAATCACACTCTTCATACCAAATATATATTAAATTAGCGGAAGAAAGTTTTAAAAACTTCCTAATACTTTATGGAAGGTAGTGCATGCAGATGAAATTACTTAAACTTTTAAATTTTCTTTTGTAAATTTATTTTTAGTATTGTAGTAAGTGTTATCTAGTTTATCTTTCGACTGATTGATCAATCAATATGAGGCACCAGTATATTAAGGCTATATTGGCTACCAAAATTTCACCCATTACTGGCAGACAAATGAAATTCAGAGAATTTAGCAATTTATGTTTACAGAACTTTTATAAATTGTTTACTTATTGACAAATTTCTCCCCTTTCTGTTTTTGTAATTCATTTGGTAGTTTGTTAAAAGGATAAATTAATTCTATATTAATAATTGAAATAATTTACTCAACAACAGCAGAGTCAGCCAGCATAGAAGGCTAGAAAATACTTCTTAACTTATAATAACCATAATATCAAATTTAATAAGTTAGGACTAACAGAGAACGGCAATGTAATGTGAGGGTAGGGTCGACAAACATCCCTCTTCTCCAAGATCATCCAGATTTTTTCCGAATGCCACCTAGAGACAAGAATTTTATTCTGAAAACTGCTCCTACAACAAAGTATCTTCTTCCACATTTTAATAGTATTTCTGTCTTAAAAATTCTTCAAAGTACCTTCTAAAATAAAACTCCAGTATTTGCTTACTCATATACAGTACAGACTAACATTTTCGATTCTTCCATACAGATCTTTGTCAGGTCTACTATTTTTTAAAATCCGAATGCTTTTGATCTTTGTAAACATTGCTTTTTGAACAATGTTGTTTTTTTTGCATTTACAACTTTTACGACGACAATCAAAAGTATTCTGATTCTAAAAAAAACCATAGACTTGACAAAGATCCATAGAGAAAGATCAAAAACAGTCTGTATATGAGTAAGCAAGTACTGGAGTTTTATTTTAGAAGTTATTTTGAAAAATTTTTAATACTGTCACTCCAGTATGAAAGAATTGCAAGTGTATTTCTGTCACTAGCAGGGTAAAAAAAATACACAACTATTACACATCCCGGAATCAGAGCATCCTGATATCTTTCAGGAAGGACTCTTCCGAGCTTTTATCCTCAAGTACCCAGAGAAGTTATGCGAGGACGATCTTCCAAGGGAAGATGCCACCCAGAAGGACTTCCTACAAGAAACGACCCCAATTTGGGTGTTAGATCGAAGGTTGCAAACCAGCAGCCCATATATGGCCTGTCGAGTTTTCGTATCTGGCCTGCAACTTCAATAATATCTTTTCTAAAAAAAAAAACCAACATTTCTAATATCTTGAGGGGATTAAAACAAAAAATTCAAATGTCTGTTTACACAAGTCATAAAGGCCCTGGCAATAAATGGGCTTTCATCACAACCTTTCTTTTAGTTTACGGTGTGTTTCGGTTTACCGAATAATATCCAATATGGCCCGCATCTGATGTACATCCTTTCAACCGGCACTCTGCCACACTCAAGTTCGAGACCCTCACGTTAGAAAGATAAAACCAGAAAACTCCACACAGCCGGCAACAAACTGGCTAGCATTTGGCAGTTTCGCCCGCCAGGGAGCAAATGCGGAATCAAATCGGATTTACGCGGCAACAAGAGTATGCGCGGCATCTCCCTCGCCCGCGGTCACCCGGCAAACTCAAAATTCTCTACATTTAATCCCAAAGATCGTCAGATGTTGATGCTAACTAGGAATTCAGGATAGAGAAAGCATGTTTCAATCAATAATACAATTGTATATATTTATATTATACCATTTATTACATACACGGCAACAGAAACAAGGAAAAGTTAAAATGGAGACATCAATGACGTTCAGAACTTAAAAAAACAAAATGCTAGACATAAATCCCGGTGGAACAGACACAATTATTTGTAAAAACTCGTATTTATAATATACGACGCAGTTCGAACGTATTGAAATGAATTAACTGAGCGATTTTTAACGCGTAAAATAAATTAATATCGATTATATACGCGAAATTAAGAAAAAAAAAGAGGAATTCAACCCGAAGCTCACCCAATATGGCGACGTCCCTTCGGACGATGAGAGAGAGAAAAAAACGCTTAATAAAATAGCTTATTTAACGGCAACGGCTTGATTTTTCATTGTCGTTAACGGCACGGTTTAACGTTAGACGTTTCGTTAATGTTTATATTGGTTAAATTCCCACTTTGACCTATTAATTACCTCGACCGCTGCCTCTTTTCTCACTTCTTCCTTAACCCTGTGCCCTAACCAAACTAGTACGTCACGTCAGACGCTTCCACTAGTCACGTGACCGGGCAAGAAACGAGTGAACGCCATTGGCGGAGTGGGCGCGTGACGTCGACGTCGACGTCGCTCTATTTTTCTTCCCTCGTCGTCTGATTCCTCGATTTAACGCTTTCCCGTTCTAGCGAATTTCTCGTGTTTTATTTAAACATTCTTTTTTTTTAAATTATTATTATTTTTTGTTTTTTATACAATCGATCTTCGCTTTTAAAGTTTGTTTTACTTTTTATTTTTTCCTTCCCTAGTCTTATTGGACTGCAATTTTCGGATTGCAGACCTGTCTGTCCGTCTGTCCGTCTTTCGTTGATGTCGAGAACGAAGTTAGACGAAAATCGAGATCAGGTGTAGAAAGCTTGGGGGGAGAAGGTCACGATTAACTATACGCAAACTTCCTGTCTAGACCGAAAGTCACGTGATTTCTTAAATTAAAAGACGTTCAAAATTGCACCCCGACATAGTGACGATGTCGCGATAACATTCGTTTGAATTTTATAATTAGATCTTAATTTTATAACACGTTATGCGTAATAAACGGGTTTGGTTGGTAATTAATATTATTTTTTTAAACCTTAAATATGAAATTTTAGGGGTAAACGTTATATAGGGGTTGAAACTTTGTAGCTTGTGTTACCGAAAGGAATTTCATTAAAGGTTGAAATGTTTCGGTTTAACAACGGCAATTTCATAAAGTTTTCCGTCGTAGGCGAATAAATTCGTTATATCGAAACAGTTAAATTACTCGTTAAACTGTTACTATAAAATATTAAATAAAGGGATCTAAGTTGTAATGATTCAAAATTTATTATTTACCAGCGTTTTTGTTGGAATCTCGATTTAACGCTTATCTTTGAATATTGTTCTACGATTTATATCGTAGTTAATTAAAATATATATATATATATTTAAAAATTGGCGGCTAAACTTTGCTATTTTATATTTAAACCTCGATTTAACAAGCCTTGCTTTTAGCGACTTTTATGTTGGAAGTTAAATTGAGATGTATATTTCGATTTAACATCCAACACATTATCTTATGTCCAACGTCCAACTAGATGTATTGTACAGTATATCTCGATTTAACGTCCAACGTCGTATCAAATGGAAGAGAACGTTAAATCGAGAATTTCTACATTTGAGACCAGATCTAAATTAGTTAAACAGCATTTATGTAACTCTTTAGTCATGTATTTTAATGGATTTTACTGGATTTACGATTTACATTTACTGGATTTTACTGGATAAAACATAAATATATGCTTATAAAGCTTTATCCCGTTATAATGAATTATGTATAAAATTGTATATTATAACTTTACATCCAGTTTTGTAATTACTGTATAGATTAAAGTTATGCCTTAAAACGGATTAGTTAAATTCTTTTAAATCCAGAACTTGGCGTTAAATCGAGTTTTTTCAAACATAAAACTAAAAACATAAACTATATAAATCGTATGACAAGATTAAAAGATAAGCATTAAATCCAGATGCCAACAAAAACTCTGGTAAATAATAAATTTTGAATCATCATTAAAGCTTCCTTCATTAAAGATAATTTTATTTAATATTTTATAGTAATAGATTAATGTGTAATTTGTTTTGATATAACGCATTTATTCAGATATAATAATAAAAAAAAAGTATTTCATAAAATTGCTGAAACATTCTAAACTTTCATCAAATTCCTTTCAGTAGCAAAAACTGTTACAGCTTTTTAACCCCGTTATAACGTTTACCCAAAAATTTCATATTTAAACGCTTACTTCACCCGTAAATTTACCGTGATATAAATATCAATTTATCAAAGTCTGTATAAATATGAAGCAAACCAGGAAAATTTGCCACATAAACGCCATGTGATCGCTCCATTTGCCACATTTGCACTTTATGCGGGAAATGGAGCAAAAATGTTACAGTTTTTCGGAGAATTTTGGTTCACTTACCAATAACATTTCCTGGTATTACGATAATGTAAACCGCAGGCACTTAAACGACACTTATACCGTATTAATAAATGGCACTAGATATTACCCATTATATAAATCGAATGGAGACAAAAGAAAATGCAGCTTAAATTATTTTATTAATTTATAGTTATTTACATAAATTTGGTGGTTCAATTTATCAATGGCATGCAAGCGTTTTTCTTAAAATCGTTGCAGAATTTCTCGCAAATTTAATTCACTTGCAATCGCACGGATCACAGGAGCAACTTTGACCTTCTATAAATGAAAAAATGAAGTTGCGTTGTTAATTTACGTAAAAACAAAAAAACAAACAAAAAATAGTAAAATAAATCTGAAAGATCATTAAAATTAATTAATAAACAATGAGAATTATTTTAAAATTAAATTCTTATTATTTATTTTTTCTTTTTTTTTACAGAAATAGGAAACAAAAGAGCTTGGAAGCCATATTTACCTTTACATTGGCAATGGCATTTCTTACACTTGCATTCGCCACTTGAACATTTGCACGATGTTTCGCATGTGCATTCGGAATCTTGTATAAAAATGAAATTTAAAAAGAAATTTTACAAAAAAAAAAGAAAAACAAAAAATTATAAAGAAAGGACTGACTAACTGACTTACCACCACACTGGCATGCTGGATCTGGCATCTTTAATTTTCTGTGAGTTATCGTTGGACGTTTATAAGTACTGTATTGAACGTTTGCTTGATTAACATACGAAGGGCCCACTTTTATCCTCCAATATTTTGTAACGTGTGCAATGAACTTAATTACATATGCAGTGATTACAGAATAGAAAGAGATAATACAATTACTTTCAAATTCAATGCCTAATCATTGTTTCAGTTTTGATAAGATAACTGAAGATTTTCTGTACTCTTAATCGATTAATTAATTAGATAAGAAAATTTTAACATTAAGAAGCCACCCCTTTCAATAATAAATAAAATAAATTTAAAAACGAGAAGACACAGACTGTAGTTTAAGTGTAAATCCTATTTTGTGTATAGGCATTTGTACAGGAAGAATACAATGTAGAATAGATTATACGTATATACGTTAATTAATTAATTATGTAGGGTATATTATTTATAAGCTCACCAGATAATATTTAATAAATGTATACAGTATCTTTACGAGATCATTTTTGAAACGATTATTTCTCATTACATCAAAAGGTAGTCATTTTAATTAGGATTGATAGAATAAGTCCAAGCAACACAAGCACGATCTTCTAAGGGGTGTGCCTCCCGGGAGGACTTTCTATACGGGAAACTGGCCCCTATTTAGGTGTTAAACACTTGAAAAAACAGCGAAAAACTCCACGTTATCAACCCTTTAGTGAAGCGCAAACTCGTGACCAAATACCAGTGTTAAATAATTTATCTACTAGGCCACTGATGGGGTATCCATTTTAAAAATGGTCTTAAATGAAAGAAACGTAGACACACAAGAATATCAATATTTAAATTAATTAAATACTATCGAATCTATATTGAAAAATCTATACAAATTCATAAATAGGCCTATGCCAATTTTCAATCGCATGTCGTAATTTGTATTTACGTCAGATCATTTGATTGAAATTTAATATGGTTTATCTACTTCGGATGATAGCATGATTAATTAATGAATGCTATCAAAAAATTATAGATTTTTTGAAATTTCTAGAGAGTGATTAATATGCCAATGACCAGATAAACATAGGAGACATATTGATAACGATAAAAATGTCTTAATTTTTTAAAATAAAACTAAAAAATTATTACTGAATAGACATACTTGCCATGTTCTTTATTTCATATTTTAGTGTTAAAGTAAACTATTAAACATTGTTTTGTTAAATATATTCATGAATTCTTCTTGTATGAGCTTCTTGTATAAAGCTCTTATGTACTGTACAGGAGGATATAGACATAAGCTACGCAAACTACAGCTTAGCGCCTCACTTCAAGAGTTTACAGTTTAGGCCTTTGAGATGTCAGTTTAAAATACTACAACTTGTGTCCTCACTTTTTAAATTTATTATTTAGTGGAGAGAATGGCCTTTTAGTATGTTATACAGCAAAGCAACAACAAGCCTAAATCTGGCCCTAGCTTTATAATACAGTAGATTTAGAAAGGTCTTCTAGAGATACAGTTCTTTATGATAATCATCAAAACTGTAAAGTTGTATTTCATTTTAAATAAATTTTTAAAAATAATATTATTATAAGTAATTAATATAAAAATATCTTGAAGATAACTTTCGTCAATTTTTCGTCAGCTTTTATCTTTTATCAAATCAGGAAACGTCAAGAAAAGTCCATTAATAAATTCTCGTTATCTATGTTGTAATTGGTTACATCATCCGCTCGAATATTGTCATGTGCTGAAGATGGTACGTACTTTTATGCGCACGTCACTAAAAGGTTACTAAATAAATTGGCTCCTTGGCTTTCAGTGAGCAAGCATTTACTTACTTAAAGTAACATTCTCAATCGCTTAAAGTTCGAAAATACACAATGCCAGATCCAGCTTGCAAGTGCGGTGGTAAGTAACGATCTTCGTTTGTGCGCCATTTTTCTACACAAATTGTTAAGGTATCGTTATATTTTGCTAGATTCTAAATGCAACTGCCAGACTAAGTGCACTTGTTCCAGTGGCGGATGCAAATGCGACAAGTGCCACTGCAAATGTAAAGGTAATTATCTCTATACTTTACTAATTTGTAAGCGTTATTGTACATTATACTGAAGAAATGCAAATAACTTATTATAAAAATGACAAAATGTTGTATTTTCTTCCTTTCAGAAGGTGGAAGCTGCTCTTGCAGTTCTTGCAGCTGTAAATGAAGCGAAACTGTGGACTGCTTCTAAAGAAACTGTAAAGTTTCATAACAATGCATTTAATTTGCAGACCTCAATATGGCTGCCTTTTGTCACGTGTAATTTTATTTGTAATTTTTGAAATAAAATATTTTTAATATGTTTCAAAGCTACGTTTATTTTATTTTATTTATTTTTTTTATAATATTAAAAATAAGTATAAATGGGCAGCTAGGATAATAAACAAGTTCTGTCAGACATGAACTATTCTAGTACGTATAGTTCAGGCCGGATGCCCGAGCGATCAAGGCCTACCGAATCCATAATGGGCCTGCTATAAGAGGCCCTCTTAGTGCCCACAGGGCGGAAAGAGTATTTAAAAAAAGTACGTATAGTTCAGTTCTTGAACACCTAAGCTCTTATTAAAAGGTATATTCACGTAAATTGAATTAAAATTATAATTTAATAGTTCATAATTATGTAAATTATTAGTTGTAGATAAATAAATTGGTAGTATTATATGCGTTTAATTGAATGCACCAGAGCCATTCTGGCTGGTGCAGCAAGTCCAAAAACAATTCATTTTTAACTTGCTATAAGTTTCAGAGTTAAATTTTAATCTATAACCAAATTCAGAACATAATTTGTTTCAAAATTGTATAAAATTTTCAGACAAAATCACGAGAACCTCATTCGTTACTAAAATATTTTATCGATAAACTTTGTACATTGCACCATCTCTGTGATTTAATATTATATCATGTTAAAGATAACCAGTAGCGTAGCGTAGTGCGACGGCACTTTTTAGGGCGCGGCAAAATTACGTTTTAGGGGGCGGCAAAATTTCACAATAAATAATAATAATATCTTGTAAGAATTTGAACCATTTTATTTCATATTTTCGTGCACCTACGATTCGGACCGATTGAAATGAGCACGGAATACCATCCGGAAGTCCGGGAATTGTTTTTTTTTTTTTTTTTTTTTGCTTGTACGATTTATTCGTATATATATACACACCTTCAATATCCAATAGAGCTAGGTCACTTGCGTTACTCCTATCCAAGTCTCCCTAGTCGCTAACTGTAACTGGTTTAGAACCAGCATGCACTGCAAATTATTCTTCGCATTACAAAATGACATACGCATGCGTCAGGAACTTCTGTTCGAACAAACCTCACCTGCCGTCCGGGTCAGCGATTTTAAAAAGGTGACAACACTAGCACGGAATTTTACTTATTCTGTGACGAAAGTGAATTTTAGTCTTAAATTGAGATACCTAAATAAGGGGGGCGACATTTTCCTCCGTCCCGGGCGGCTGACACCCACGCTACGCTACTGAAGATAACAATGCTTTTTGTTATTAGAAACGTCATTTGATTTGAAATTCGCTTAATTTCTTAAAACGTAGCTTTCGTTTTCTCATTTTTTCGATAACGAGTTTTGAAATAAAACTTTTAACCTTAAAAACTGATACAAATGCATCTGAGAAGAAAACACGGCGACCTTGAATAATATAAAGTCCACAAGATATGATAATCAGTGAAAAACAGATCGAATTACACAAGTTTTGATCTTCGAACGATAGAAATGATATTATTGTAGTAACCCTAGTCGTGATGTTACGCCATCCTACAAGTGTTAAGAAACGTGACGACGAGGAAGCTAATTTAAAGTCTTAGTTATACGCTTTCCCGTGGTTTTACCGACAATTGCTATCTACGATTGGTTAAGATCGAGTCACGTGATAACCGAGCGCCATTTTCTTGTCAAACGATAAGGTTAATGTTTGTGTTTCGGTTTAACGTTACGTCGTGCGTTATTTATTTATGTATGGCTTGTTCAGCTTACAAGTGTTCTGGCAGTGTATCAACTATGCAAACTAATATTACAAAATATAAATATTAAATAGTGGATATTTTTTCAAATAATAAATGTATTATATAAAATAATCACATTTTCAAACTTTTTTTTAACTATTTTGTGAATGTGAAAAAATATCCACTATTTAATATTTATATTGTGTAATATTAGATAAATCGACATGATGTAAACAAATAAAATTTGAGTAAATAGGAAACTAAGGGCGCCCTCCGGTAGCTATTTATTTAAACTTCGGTTCCATCTTAATAAAGTCGTCGATAGAGCACAAGGTTATAGAATATAATCTAGGACCTTGAATAGAGCTGGTCGTTTTGTGGGTGTACAATGAATCGAGTTGAAGTTAAAGTCGAATATTGGTATGTATTGGCTTATTTTTGTGCTGAAGCTTTAACAGAAATGTTCCTAAACGTATTTAACGGTGATCAGTCTTCATTTAAGTTCATTAGTAACGTGAAATTGGCAAAGTAAAGGTTATTTTTATTAAGGTATACAATTACAAAAAAAGGAATACGCGAATTTTTTTTCTCGTTTTATTTTAAAAAGGAGGCATATTTAATAGACATTTGCCAAACACTCAGAATTTTTTCGTGCGACCCGCATATAAAGAGTTATAAAGAAAAAAATCATAGAACTATTTACCGACTGTGCCCCGTTCGAGACTCCATTGCGTAACCTCATTGTGGTCGCGGAGCTACATGTTGGACGGCGGACGCATACAAAACGTGCCGCGTGCATTCTCTGACGTATTTCCTGAGAAATCTCGCGAAAGACTTCAAATAGCTTTGATGACTTGATTAGCTGCGTCATCAGAGCGGTTGTGTATGCATCCGCCGTCCATCGTGCAGCTCCACGAGGACAGCAAGCTTAAGCAATAATGGCTGGAACGGTGCAGAGTCTGTAATTAGTCCTATGATTTTTCTATTTATAGCGTTTTTTTTTTTTTTTTTGTATGAGTGACTACTCAAATATTCTGTGTTTTGGATATGTCTACCATTTATGTTTCGATTGTATATAAAAGTGAGAGAGAAAACATTGGTGTATGTCTTATAAATAATTACCATTAAAATTCATTTTATTTTTTAGCATTTTGGTTTTTAATTTTTTTTTTCTTCCTGTTTCAGTGGGAGTTGAGGGTACGAAAGCCGCTTCAATGAGCTGCAGCGTAAGATCTGTGCAGTGGTTCCTGAAGCAGTGGTTGAAGGAGTATGTGGAAGAAGATGTAATTAAATTAAAACTATACCTTTTTTATAGGAAAAAAAAAAAGAAATTAATTTGTACTAATTAACATATTTTTCTAGCTTCTTATGAAGTAACCATCAATGAAAAACTGGTGTTTTCGAAATTAGAGAGAAATCAGTTTCCTGACATGGATGAGGTATGTTAGTGAAATTTAATTTTTTCTGTAAATTTACTATGCAAATTAATTTGGTTAGAGGATGGAAAATTTTTTTTTTTTTTTTTTAAAGTCTCTTCATATATAGGCAAAGGATTTCACGTGGTTAGAGCATGTAATGGGCTCTCCTTACTGTAAACTCTAAGGACCGAGCTTTAAATCATTTACTACATAAAATAGCTTCCACACACACACTAGACTAACAGAATGAATATAGTAATTCTTTCCTCTCACTCAAGACGGATGAGTGTTGACATATCTGAAGTATACATGGGCATCACATTTTTCTTTGGAACCTGTTTTGTGTGAAGATGTGTGGCTTGCCTTATGTATATTACACAAATGACATGTAAAGCACTTTAAATGAAACATGTCAATTGCTGCTTTGTGTTTGTGTGCATTGTTTTTTTAAACTCATGTACATTTGTTTTCATCATAATCTTCTTTGGTAATTATGCACATTTTTTTATTTTAGATTGTGAATAACGTCATTAAAGCATCCAAAAATGAAGAAGTGGACACTATTCAGCAAACTGAACAATGGTGTACAATACTATAATTAAGTGAAGACAGACAATTACGGATACGTTTCAACTACATATGACGACTCGTTAGTAAAAGCAATCCTTTCCAGCTAACCAGTCTGATGCAAATGTAGGGAAACATCTGGCAACTGTTTTTATAAAATTATGCTTATTAAAATTTAAATTGCACACAAATTTTTCTTCTTTCATTTATAAAGTTAAAAAAATATTTTTTTTAAAATTTGTTTTGATTTTATAAATTTGATTTTTATTGCACCGTGTTGTTAAATTCACCATTACGGTGAATTTAATAACACTGTTGTTTTTGACATATCATCATTTGACTTGTTTTAAATGAGTAAAAAAAACAAGCATACAGTTTACTAGAACTATCTCAAGTTATACTGAAGAACTTTGTGCATTAGAAATACATGTGGGAGATTTTATTCTATTTATCTACCACATGATTGCTCATGATTTTGACGGGTGACTACTTGGCCGAGTGTTTTTTCAAGCCTTCTCTAATAACAATACCCCAACCTGATAATCTCTCCTTGTGGCACCCTTATTTCTTTATCATTAGTTTCATTTTTCATACTTCCAGTAATTTGTGTAAGAAGTGTGGTGCTGCTTGGAGCTATATATTGTCACAATCTAATTGAAAACCTCTGATGGAACCTCACCTAAAATGCAACCCGGTAGAATATGACTTGCCAAAGAATGTGCAGAAAGAAATTGCTGCATCTCCCTCAGTTTCTTTGGGTCTGTTGTCCTGTGAGTTTGCTGCACTGTTATTGTCGGTCTCCATTGTGTAAAAGATAATATAGTATTCTAAACATGACTATTACTAAAATTCTTATCAGAATTAAGCTTTCCTCTTTCTCTCACTATTACTGCTAGCTTCTCAAAGTATAAGACTAGGGTTGGACTACACCTGGTAACTAAAGTTAAATTTTTCTTGCTCGATTTACAAGGCAAAAAATGGGTAGCCATTGCAACTTGACTGTAACCAATGCATAAACCAATTGTTTACCTCAATTGTCAAGATCAAACACAATTGGTTCTGGGAGATATCAAAATTTTCTCCATAACAAATGGAAAAATTCCATCTTGTTTTTGCTTTAATCTAGTCTAAATTTAGAAACGAAAGCTAACAAATTGAGGATTGGGAAATGACCGAATTGCAGTACAGTATACAGGCCAGTTCATACTTTGTGAGAATAGATGAGTAGAATGTCTTCTGTCTTGCCATACTTGAAAACAACATACACAAAACACACTGCTTTTCTCATCTGCAATTTAAGGTATGGCTTCTCTGCTACAATTGAAGGTACCATACAGAGCCAGCCCTACCATAGGGTGAAAGGAGCAGCCGCTCCAGGCGCTAAGTCCTAGGGGCACCTCAGTGGTAAAGAAAATTAAAGGGTATAAATTTGGGGCAACCAAGGGCAGTGGTGTAGCGAGGGGGTGTATCAAGCACCGGGCGCCCCTCTGCGAGTGGCGCCCAAATGGTCTCCAAGACGAACTATGTGTGTTTCTGGAGGGGTGCGCCAATAAAGTGTCGTGCCCCGAGCGCCAGTTATGTTTGCTACGCTACTGACCAAGGGGGCGCCATAATAGGATCTCGCTCCATCCTAAAACTTGCCTCGGACTGGCACTGGTACCATGCTCTCAAAGCACACTTGGAGTCGTAAAATTTACAGTAACCAGAATATGTGCAGTTAATTAGGAAAATGAGAGCAGAAAACAATCTTATGAAAGAGAATTTTTGAAAATGATCTTGAAATCATCCTTCAGATACAGAAAAAAAGTTGGAGGAGGATGCTAAACACGAATTTAGGGTTTAGTGGTGAACCACAAAACTACAAAGAAAAATTTGGATTTGAGCATCATTGATCCACCTAAGAAAATCATGGTTTGCATGCCTCACAGTATGTAGTGTACACCTACATTAATAAAGCATTGCATATTGAAGTGTTAGTTTTCAAAGTACTGAAATACAAATCCTTCCCTTCCATAAACTTTCTAATGGGTGATATGCCATTTTTCCACCAACACCCCAAATTGTTTCAAAGACATTCTGTACTATATACATATTTCACTATTTGCAAAGGAAAAGGGGAGAAATACTTTATAGTACAGCAGAGCCTCGGAAACTCGGCACTCCAGATAACTCGGCCACACCCTGGCAGGGCAAAAATACCCTTAGATAATTAATTTTCATCATAGACAGCTTTATGCCTCATAAAGTATTTTTCTGAGGTTTGTCTTATCAGGTAAATTACTGTACCCAGTGTATTCATTAATTTTCATTTTCATGTAGTAAAGGCTCTATGCTTTCATAAAGGACATACTTTTCCTTTGTTTAAGGGTATTTGGGCAGTTTATTCTCTGTTGTATTCTCAAGCAAACAATACATACAACTACAGTACAATATTTTCTGAGGAAACACGCATACTTATCCTTTTTTAACCCTATTCCCAATAACCCGGCATTTTCACAAACTCTGCCACCCTTCGGTCCACATTAGGCCAAGTTTTTCGAGGCTCTACTGTATTGGAATTTAGCAATTGGTGGATTTTCATGAATAAGATATTAATCAGTAATTAAGGAATTAGCCTATATCTGCTCTATCTAGTTATATAATTTCTGTTCGTTATTCCTCTTCCAAAGCTGTGGGTACTCCAGTGATTAGACACTACAGTCCTGGTAATGCACATATGGTACAGAAACAGTGTTGGAAGTAGAATGGATTGAATGGTTTAATCATTAAGAAATGAAACATTTGTTTATTTACAAGTTGGACTACTGAGCAACCAAAGCAAAGCATCATCTACGTTGCTGTCGTGGAATACCAAATTCAAGATGGAAGATTTTCAATGTTAAAGAACAGTTTAATTAAGTAATGTTCTTTTATCAAGTAATTAAGATATATATGTAAAAGAATAAAAATGGGCAATAATTGCAACAGTATGACCATACACTTCGCTGATTTAATGTACTAAATGACGTTTCCATGAAGGCTGACATGTTGCGGTATGAGAATGACAAGTCATTACGTCATAAAACATGGATTCCATCATAATGAAACTATGTTTTATGACTTCCTATTATTCAAGCCGTAATTATCTCGACAGTTGTTAATTATCATATGAGCATGCTATAAGGCAGGGGTCGCCAAAGTGGTCGATATGGACCCCCAGGGGTCGATGCAGCATCATTGGGAGGGTCGATGCGGCTAAGGGGTCACAACCTTTTTTTTTTTATTTTTTTGCTTAGACAGAGACCACAACCCACAACGTTTTTTTTTTCACTCATACATCAGGGGCGTGCCGTGACATTTGATGATAGGGAAGCTGTGTTTCTATAAGAAGCCGACATCCAGGGGCAATCAGTTAATTCTTTCTTTAAATGTATTTTTAATAGATTATTTATCTGACGTACTTAATAAACAAGTTTTATAATTACCTCTGTTATTAGATCCAATATATTCCATATGCCCTCTAAATGCCAATTCTTGCTTTGATAAAAACATATAACATCTATTTATTTAGATATAATATATCTATTACCCATAATTATCTCGTTACAATTTTCAATATTTATTTTATATTATTTACTAATGTTAAATTCTATTCCGCTTCGATTTCCAAATTGCTTCAAATACGAAAGAATCGACGATTTTTCGTGTCTTTTGCCAGCTAAATTGTCAAAGACATTCTTATTCCGCACACTAATTTCACTCTGTAAATGCATTTTTATGCATTTACAGAGCCATTTTATCGTGAAAATATCGAACAAATTTTTTTATTGAAGCGTTTATATTTAACTTAGGCATTGGCCGTTCTCTTTTAATAATGTTTTCTTTTTCATTATATGATCTCGAGCCAAAACTTTTTTAAAATAAATTTTCAATATCGCAATTACATTCCGAATCGCTAGCCACGATATAAGGGCTAAAATTAAAAATAAAATTATAAAAACTTACTTGGTGAAATAAAATGTGTGGTGGATATACATACCTGGTACAAAACATTCTTCAATTGTATGAATATACTTTTAAAGAAAATTATAATTAAATATAACTTTGTAATGAAACGTACATGAAAATAACATAAAATATTCTTTACTCTTTAAATCTTAACCACTTAGTCAAATAGCTCCCTACGAGTGGAATCAGAGACGGTCCTGCTAGGTGTGCGGTGTGTACTGTACATGCACGCGGGCTGCCAAATCCCGAGGGTGCCGATACCCTCGGGATTTGGCAATGTCAAATGTTTCTTTTGTCGCATCACTAATATACCTCAAAAGACGCGACAGGGTTCTTGTAAATTTTAAACGTTTCTCACCATAGCTGTAAAAGTCTAAATGTTAAACTTAATAGATTGTCCGTCTTTTGTTTTCTAACTAATTCGTTTTAGGACCAGGTGTTGTCCACGGAAATTTCCAAAATTTACAACTTTTCGGTCACTCTCGTCGAACTGGAAAAATTTCTGTCTTTATTACATCTAATACAGTATTTCGAAGAAATCAGTCCCCACTGTACTCGGCTATAGATTGGTTCGGTTAAGCTTTTGTTTAAGTAATATTCCGGCTCTTTCATCAGGGTTTTGTTTATGTCCCCAATTCCCTAATCGCTTAATTATTTAACTACTTCTTAAGTAGAAATAAGTCGAAACCAGTTACTTTGTACTCGAATATTTGTAGTCTCGGGAAAAAGTGGAAAGACAAATTTTTATGACAAACGGATACATAAATCGTAAATTTAAGGAAAATAAATTCTAGAGCTTTTTCTGTACCTCGTGCATCTCTCTCATTCATTAAATTTAGTTGTAAATGATGCTGCCAAAGTAACAGTTAATTTTTTAACATTGTACAAGAATTGTACACGTTTTTTTCTACATCCCCTTAAAGATGGGATGTACGAAATCGTAATATCACTGGTTTAACATCGAAATCCGTGAGTAATATAAAATCGGAAAGCGGAATAAATATATCAAATATTTTAATGGATTTTTTTAACTCCTGTCAACTATACAGAACTATCGTAAAAACATACCAGTAAATTCTTATCGGTTGGGTTAAGTTATAAATCTACTCGTTATTCACGTAATCGAAATATCTAGTGGGCAGGCGGCTAACAGCCCAGAACCGGTCCTTGATAGAATTGGAATCTTTATATGTGTGCAGCTTTCACCCAAGGTCGTAGGCTTCCACCGGCTAAACCGGGTGAGGTTGGTGCTCTGTAAAGCGCATGCGCAAATCTGGCTTTTCGTAATCTGAAAATACAGGAGATTCCACTCCGCCACTAATATTCGAATATACAAAAGCAATTTTTTTTTCACGTGTAGTATAGAAATTTGTAATAAGATACTTAATGTGGTTATAATAAAATATTGTGCGATTATTTTCATATAATTAAAATTAATATTTATTTATTTTTTAGAGAATACGAGGGAAGAGGCGCTTCCAACGCTTCTAATGACGGCACGCCACTGTCATACATATACACTTGTAATAAAACTTTACGGTGGGGGTCAATGTGAGGCTTTGGAAAGTGATTGGCGGTCCACGGTTAAAAAAGTTTGGCGACCCCTGCTATAAGGTCTGCCCGCGTGAGGAAGGCACATAAAATTTCTATCGCATTGTCAACAGACTCGTCTATTATTTTAGGTAGTATAATAAGAATGAAATAATTACGACGTATTAGTCTGTACCCTGTTTTATACTTTATACCCTTATTTGTGTAGATGAGCTAGCTTTTCCTATTTTACATCATCGCATTCTTTTAGAGTGCCTTCTTCGGGCGAACAGACTATTAATTTAAAATTTCGGAATTAAGCTAAACATATCAAGTGAATCCACGGACCTCTTTACCAGTGCGACAAAGTCTGTGTGTACGCCATAGAATAATACTTTTAAGCACACAAAATATATGTAATTGATTTCCTTTGTAACTCTATCGAAACAGTTATGAAAATTTACTGCCTGATGCTATCACGTTACTATTTCACATATATCTATGGTTTCTATTGGTGAGTCACAAATTGGGATCCAGAGATCTATGGGAAACTAAGTGTTCGACACGCGAAGAAAACTCGAAAAACAACGCGTGGTTAGGGGCCAACCCGCGACCTAGACAACCAGTGTTTAGTGCCACTAGTGGGCCGATTAACCAGGTACTGTCGATACAAGTGTGTGCTTGTTGATATTAGATTTCAGTTCGAGATTAGTGAAAGTTCACGGATCCCAGAATAAGAACCCCTGGTGTACACTCATTGAATTTCAGTTCGAAAAAGTTCGCAAACACTAAAAACTATTCTTGTGTAAGAATATGGATTGAGATTTCATGGATATTTTCGAATTTTAATGAATATTTTCAATAAGTTTAGACAATTAGACAATAGTAGCGTATAGTGTCATACGCTATGGTAATATTCAAAGATTATTTAACATAAATTATATAAAACTCCGTACATACATAAAAATCCGTTTGGTGATATAATGTTGGTTTTTAATTATTTCACGTATGTATAAATATATATATATATATATATATATAATGGACATATTATAATGTAATTTTACGAAACACAGTAAATCAACTCAACAAACTTATACATATTATTGGGATGAAAATTCTATTTAGACGTACTTTATACATTCTAATCGTTTGATTTGTTATATACATATAAACATATTGTTTTTTTGATTGTAACTGAGCAATAATTGATATTGCTAACCAACTTCACTGCTCTAAATTACACACATTTAAACGTTCCAATGCAGTCCATAAATTATACATAAGATATAATACATCGATTTCTAATTTCTAGTCTATAATTATTATTGACTATACATCGTGCAGCACGTTCGCTAGAACGTCCCCCCTATTCGATTCCCATTTCAGACGTTCGTAATTTAACAAAATAAATGTCATATATCAAATTGCATTTTGTACACGTTCCAAGACTATCACTCGACCGAACACGTACAGTACGTAAAATAAAGGAAGTAAATGGAAATTCTGATATGTATTGCAGGTAAATTACACTGTGACATCATAATAATTAAGATTATGCAAGCGTACAATATACGATATTCTTTAGTGTTAAGTAGTTCTTCGTAAGGAAAAATAATGAAAATTTCTTATCACAACACCGATACGTTACTGTTATCTCTACGTAATACATAAACAACAGATATATTTATTCGTGCAGTCACACCTCGATTTAGCGCAACCCTTAAATAGTGCAAACGTCGTAATGTGTCAATCAAAGAACCTATTTTTTAGAGCCAATTTCAGAGTCGAATAAATGGTAGCGCTAAATCGAAGTGCTTGACTGCCTACTTTGGTCGTTTTTCTCTTTGATCTTTAACTGTTTCAATAATAATAACTAACTATGAAAAGTTATTATTATTATTGAAGAAGGAAAGAATTGGATCTAGTGAAGCTTGCAGAAACACACATTACACATCGCGTTAAGACATACTTCAATACTTTTCAAGAACTCAGTATTGTGGAATATACAAACTACCGTTAATTTAACGCAAGTTCTTTCAGTTGAAAACTTCATTACACCGTAGAAAACTAAAGAATTAAGCTTGTAAACACCATCGTAAATGACAAACTACATGTAAAAAATCGTAAAGTAAATTTTTACATCATTTACACATTGTTAAAAAGACACCACAACGTATACGACATAAACAAAATATTCCTATACACTTCTTGTGTGACGTAAGACAGAGTGAAAATACTCGTTATTATACATAACAATATTTAAACAATATTTATAACACTTAATTCTACTTAATATTTAATCTTTCGGATTTCATTAAATGATTGCTTCTATAGAAAATAAACTCGATTTCCTCATTATACAGGGCGATTTAAAAGTATCCACACTTTAGACATACGTGTCGCTTAACATGCATTCACTTCTGACGTAGAATGTGATTTAATGTAACATTTCACCGAATACACATATAGATGCATGTTAACGCGTCTGATATTATGTGTGCATACAACCCTTTAGACAGGAAAAGGTCAGCCTGCAGCTCTGGGGATTCGGGTTCGAGTTCTGGTCAGCAACCACTGGGACATTTCGTAGATGCATTAGTTCACCCTAGGCAGTAAGAGCGCCTTTTCTCCTTACCTATTTTCGAATCCAGAACCAAAATGAAGGCTGCCATGTAGGGATTGACGGGCTCGGTGTACCTTATTCGACCCATAATGATACAATTTAAAGCCAATAATCGATCATTAGATTTCCAGGGGGGAATTTCTGTGTGAAAGAAGCAATCCACCCGTGGACAGATCACTCACTTCCAAAGGATTATGGAAAACAGATCACAAAAGCTTCTCGAGGTTCCTGAACCAGACTCGAATCCAAACCCAGATTGCCAGGATGATGCCTTTACCGTCTCATTTCGTGGAATTCGGTCCGAGACATTCTTGGCCCCTCCGTTATCATTGACTGCCCGTTGTGGGCTTTCTTGAACCCATAAAAGCATGAAAGAAAGGCCTTCTTAGTAGTCATAGGATAGAGAATTTTTAAAAATTGATTAAATAGTCTGCGTATTATACGGAGACTTTTCATGAAACACAAATTTCCTATCCGAAATTCAATTAACATTTAACCAAACTTTGGCATTGTCACATGTCAGTAACCTCCATTTAGGAGACGATTATTCCCAACAATACCGCTTGCTGTATTCACAGATAATTCACTCAATACGGAGAGAACTTATTCTTTTCGGACTTCTTACCTCCATTGTGATTGGTGGAACCGCGAATTTTCGTGGTAAGGTTTTTTCGGTTCTGGTTGGCCACGGAATTCGATTCGGCAGCAAAAAGGGCGGAGGTGGCGGGAGAAGAAGCGGCAACGGCCGCCGCCGCGGCGGTCAAGCTAATAGCGAAGGAGGTGGGTTTCATCAGCTGACTTAAGGGGATGGCCAATGGACTCGGGCTCGTGCTCAGGGTGGTGACAGAGGCAGAGGTGGAGGCGGGGCTAGAAGTCGGGTCCAATGTCATATTCTTATGCAATTCCATACTGCAGAGATAGAAAACAGAACAAAAAGACGTTATAAACGAAATTTTGGGAATTTGGCATGATATTCGAAAGAGGAATCTACGATTTCGAATCTCGAGTAGTGTCACGGGTCCATTAATTTAGATCTTGTGTGTAATCAGATGTGTGGCTTGTGTATAATAAAATAAGGTATAAGAAATTCTGGCGTAATCCGTAGACCAATAGAATTTTAATAGATTAATTTCAGGCGCTATTTACTTATCCGACCTACTAGTTGCTAAAATTCCAAAACGCTAGTTTATTATGATTTGTGTATACTGCGCTCCCTAAGCCAAGACACAAACAATGAAGAGCCGTTTAAAAACGATGGTCGACACAAATAATGGGACTCCTCGAACATGAAGCCCTCAGCCACGATTTATCCAGTGTATACGTAAATATGACATAGGACATCGATATTCGACATAAATAATAATAGAGACTCGAGGACACTCACCTAGTATTGATGAGGTATTGAGCCAGATTAATGGCTTCCGGAGTTCCTGAAATAGTTACCGTCCTGTCTTTACATCCCTCTTCGGTGTTGGATATTTTAATGGTGGCTCCGGATAATTGCCTGTTTTGTAATGAAAAAAATAAATAATTTAATAAGATATATGTTCATACAAAATGATTTGATGATACGTGGCCAAGTGATTAAGGTGTCAGTTTCTGCTCTGAGGGACCCCAGAACTTATCCGGAAGGGTCGAAAATCCCAGAAATTTTTCAGGGGTGATCTGTTACTTCGTTCCTCATTACCTGGCCACACTATCGTAGGCCACGATGGGCGTGGAAAAAAGGCCCTCTTACCGCCCATAGGGCCAAGTTTAAAACAAAAGATTACAGTATCCTACACCTATTTAAAATAGACTCACCTGATCTCGTTGATCTTGGCTCCACCTTTTCCGATAACGCAGCCAATGAGATCGTTTGAAACACTCATTTCCGTGGTGCTGGTAGCAGTACCCTGACGCAGAGCGTCACTGGCGGCCAGGCTCGCCAGAGCTACAAAACAAAACGTGAAATCACAGTCGATCACTCTGATCGAAATATATTTTGTAAAGTAAATCGGCACGAAAAGTATTTACCCGAAGATCCTAACGTCGTCAGGCCCGGTCCCGGAAGCAGTGGCGCGTGCTGCAACGCCAATTGGTGTAACTTGGTAAGCTGGAGAGTAAACGTATAGAGTTAAAAAATCGCGAACTCGTGATTACGTTAACTACCTAAATTATGCAATGCATAACATTTCCAAGCCCTTAGAACTTAGCAGAAGTTCTAAGGGCTGCTCACACAAAGGGGCTAAAGCGTTTTTTTATCTTCGATTTATATTCGACTGAACACTGGATATTATGTATTGCAACGCGAGATCCGACCACGACCCTCGAGACATTTCATAGTTACTTGAGGATTAAAGCATCATTCTACGTCGTTTAGTGCGCTGTTAGTCTCTCACAATTTGCTCGTGATAAATCGAGGGGACCATACAATCGCACGCGCAATGACGCTATTTCGTAAAACGCGAGATTTAACAACTCATTGCCGGAAGTATTGTACAATATGCCCGCGAGATTCGGTGAATTTAAAAGTAGTGCAGGCATAATCGAACCGATACTTACATCCGGATGAGGAATGGCATATTGACCCTGCACAGTATATGCTTGACCTCCAGCGAAGATGACGGGTGGCATGGCCGGTTTCGGGCGATAGGGGATAGTTGCTCCTTTCGGTGGCGACTACAAACGAGAATTAGACTTTTAATTTCAAAAATTCATAAAAATTTGGACATAAGAATTAAAATTAGATTTATTTCTAAACTCTCTGTCTTGTGATCCAGAGGAGGACTGGCCCACTGGGCAATCTGGAATTTTTGTCTTGAATATGGGCCGAAAATTTGGCATTGTCTGGACATCAGATTTCACACTTAGCCAATCAGAAGTTTCATCTATGACACGTCGTTTATATTTTGCCAATCATACGAGTCTAACATGGCGATTTAACAAACCGAAAGTTCCGCCATTATTTCTCTCTCGCTTCAAATTTTAAGTACTTGCTGCGTATTTTAATTTAAAAGTTTGTCGTTCTCTGCATATATTTTAATACATTATTCCTTATATTTTTTAAAAAATACTTTCTGGGACCAACCGTTATCGGAGATAATCCATGAAAAATTGTGGAGTGTTGTTCGTCCGGATTCGATTCCGGATCCCCAAATCGGTAGACTGAGGCCTTAACCGCATCGGCCATCCATCTGAAGAGGATGAAATCATTCTTATGATAATTAATAAAGAATTCTGATTAAGAGTAACAGCAATATCATCACGAGATGTGGCATGTAGAAGTGTGTGACGCGTTGCTGTAAACGTATAATGAAAGATCTCTGATGAGTTTTGGGCCACCCCGTGTTTTACGATTTATAAAACGAAACAGATTCGAAACTAACCTCCATCATGACGCAGCAAATTTGGTAGATGCATTTGGTGATGGATTCCGCCGTTCCAGATACAGTGACGGCTCTTTCTGTTGAGTTTGGAAGCATTTCACTAGCAACTTGTATCGACGCTCCAGTCACCTGTTAATATTAAGGTCACCATCATCTCTTGTACTGTACTTATACTGTATAAAGTTAATATAATAAAATAATCTACAAGCCATTTATTTCGAGATATACGTATACTGTTGACCCTCGATTTTACGAACCCCGATGTAACAGAATTCGGAAAAAATGGATCAAATCCGCTTGTTGCAAGGCACCCACACTGCACTGAATATCCACCAGACAGAGTGTGTTGATATCTATTGCTTCTTCTTTCAACTAATTGCAGTGTTTGTTATATCGAGGATCAACTATATGTACAGTTTATAATAAAGATATAGTTCTATCCTAAATAATTAAAACATTTAACCAATCTGACACTGGTGGGCAATACAAAGTGGAATCGCCTGATGTTGGTGAGAAGTTTATTACATAATTTTATTATTTACGTTTTTATTCAATAAAAGGACAGGAAGCTTACCTCTCGAATTTCTTTAATCTTGGACCCTCCTTTACCAATTAAGGAACCGCACTGACTGGCGGGAACGATGAGGCGTAGCGTCACAGGCGGTTTGGGAAGGTTGGCTTCGGTGGGACCGCTCTGCAGATCCTGAAAAGATAAAAATGTCGTAAACTACCACCGGAACATTAAGCGGAATTTGCGAGCGTCACAATAAATGCCATTCTTTAATTACAGAGTTCGTTTCTAAACTGCAATGTACAGGGTGTTTCAGACGATCCGTACCACCTTGCATAAAGAATCTCAGCTTTGTTGACACATGATACGTTTTTTATATCTTCGTACATTGTAGGACGCCTCTGGTATACAATATCATTAATTAATAGTATCTCCTAGTAGATAGCTCGCGCACGTTAAATCGGGCGTTTGGCATTACAGCAAAACCTCGATTTAACGGACTAATTGAGAGAAAGGAAGTGCCCGCTATTTCCGAAGTCCGTTAAATAGAATGTGTAAGGTGTGTTAAAAATGTTATTATGATGTATAAATATAAATAAATAATGGACATTGTCAAATTTGCATCTGTTTTCTCACCTTTCTTAAATAGAATAGTCTTACCTGTTGGAATTTAGTGGCCACCATCGAGAAGGCCTTGAGAATCGCCTGACTGGATCCCGTGACGGTAACGATGCGTTCCGGACAGGAACCATCCGAGATGTTAATTTTAGCGCCACTCTGAAAAAAAAGTAATAATTAGCGCGATACCACCGAAAATAAATTAGGAAAGAGTCCGCTCTGTAATCCCTAGATGACAACCTTATGTTAATTAAGCACTAATTCTGCGTGTAAGTACTAATACTGTCTATTATATCTCTAACAGTAATTGATCTGAAAATGGGTATTAGAAGTATGTTTTAATAGAAGAAGGACATTTTTCAAAGTCCAAATGAAGATCTCTCTGCATATTCGTAGACTTCATTCTGTCCATAGAGAGGACATGCTCCTTATTTTAATATTGTAAACAGGACAAGCTTAGTGGCGCGTTATAATTTCCCGAGGTCCCAAAAAAATTTGAATTCGAGGCCCCACATAGAGTGCTGACTTCAAACATTTTTGTTTGGGGATTTTGGGGGAATCCTCCAATATCCTCGTTCGTTTTTAACGTGATCTCTGCGCTGTGCAGGTGTACTCTGCACTTGCGCCAAACCGGCAATCTAGGGCCCCGGATATGGCCCAAATTTAAATTTCAAAATATAAAAGATTATAAGTTTTATAAACTCTTTATTTGCCCTTTTTCCCCGTAGGATAATGCGCCACAGCACGCTTTCAATTTTGACCGTAGAGAAAATATGCTCTTAGTTTTGACACCGCAGAGAGGACATACTCTTGCAATAATTCTACTTTTAGCTCCTACAATTATTTTATTTATTAAACTATTTCTAAATTTTGAATGCGAACCTAAAAATACCTGAGAATAAATGGCATAAACTGGAGTAGTTAACAGAAACTTGGGTGAATTCCGGTGACGTGAAAAATGGAGAAAGACGACAACCGGAAGCGGAAATAAAACAAAGTATAACTCACCTCTTCTCGGAATTTCTTGATGTTGTCGCCTTTCTGTAACGAAATAATAAACATTAAATTCGTTTTTTATACCGTAAAGTAAGTCTGTTCGTGTTTTAAAATACTTTAAAGCCCGATAGAAACCAGCGTAATGTTTCCCAAGGAAGAAAGAAAAATGAAAAGTTCTTACCTTACCAATTATGCTGCCCACTTCCTGCAAGAAAAAAAGAAAGTTTTTTATAATATTATAATATTTATAATTTATAATATTAAGATAATATCTTAACAACCTGCAATTTGTAAATTAAAAAAAAAAAAAAAAAACTAATATATAGTAACAATACAAACCACAGGCCTAAATAGCGCCACACAACGTCAAGCAAGCGCCTCATAAACATTAAATAAATGATCTTTGTGACGCAATAAAAGTTACAAATGTAAATAAATTATAAATGTTAGTTTTGGTGTGGTTAACAGTAAATGCATTTTGAATATTAACTCTTATTAAAAAAATAAAAAAAATCAAGCCCGAATATACTATAACGATTAAGTTTAACACGAGATGGCGGTAAATCAGCCTATCTCTAATCTAAATTACGTAATACCTATGTAATTAACTAACCAAGTTCTAGCCAAAAATTAATTTGATTTTTAATTTTTATTATATGTTTTGGTTATGATTACTCTTTTAAATAACGTTATACACTCACTTCGAAAACCAAAAATTTCCAGTCTTAATAAGAGATTATCTCAAATTTTTCTCTTTAGCTCTATGGGGGAAAACTATGTAACACACAACGCCATTGCTGGACTTTAGTACACACTTTTGGAAACATATTATTTACAGTTCGATTTGCCACGCCATAATATAGAAATTTAAATACACCTTACGCTATGAAACAACGTTACACCAAATTCCCAATATGGCGTCTCTGCACAAAAATTCTCGAGAGCATTTTCGATTGTCGGACGAAGAGTTTAATGAATGGAAGAGCAAATAAAAGGAGAAAGAAAGTGATAGGTTTTACTTACTTTTCCTTGCATGATGAGTCTGACGGTGAGAGTGACGCATGGGGCGTCGTCGCTCTTGCAATCGACAGTGGCCATTCCGCGGTCGATCCCGGACCCAGATCTAAAGAAAAGAATTTCAATTAATCGGAATCTCTGCCCTTCATTTACATAATTTTGCGATGCATAAAGTTCTCCTATTGGCTTACACTATTCGCCAAAAGTAAGAGTTGAAATTTTCGAAAATTTCAAATATTTTTATTAGTTCTTAAACATTTCTACGTCATTAAGTGTATTTATATTTATGAATGGTCACTTATCTTTTCATGTTTCTGCTAAATAACCGCCGAATTTCTATCATTCGCGATTTAACGCATCTTTTGTGATTGATTTCAAGGCAACACTGCAAACAGTTTCGAGAAATATCGACGATTTCCTCACGAACACCCAAATACACTTAAAAGGCCGAAGAAAAGATATCTCTATCCAATTTATCTACAAAAAATTTCAAGAAAGTTTTTGCATGTGCTGTTCCAGATGTTTCGAATCCCTTCCCTCAAAAGCCAGCAGCTCCATTGTGAAGATCTAGCTGAGTCCACGTTGGGCCCGGAATAAAGGCTCTCTTAGTCCCTTTACATGAAAAAAGTTATTGACTATATTGTAGTTATAATGTTCTCTATTTTTCGTGTATTTTCGTAAATTTCGTGTTCTCTATTAAAAAAACAGTCCGTATATTTTACAATATTCTGTAATCCGTAATCAAGGTAATAGCAACAATATGTGTCATTGAATCAACCTTCTTTCATTATCTTCGAATTACGAGCGTAATTTAATACTTAAATTATAACATCTAGTCAAAATGGATAGTCTCCGGTATTCGTACAAAACACAATGAGCTAAAACTGAATACAGCCCAACATTGGTCAAGTAGATAAAGCCACTGAATGCTGGGGTTCGCGTCTGACCAATGTTCCTGTGCACGTGAAGTTTGTTATGTTTTCTCCTCGTATCTAACACCTAAACAGAAGTCATAGAAAGTTTTCCATAAAATGTCTTCCTGGGAGGCATCCCATTCTTGATACACTTAAACTGTGCACCATTTTATTCATCAATCTAATCCATTGAAGAAGGATTTGAATTGTGAAAACACTCTCTACCACATTCACATTGGGCCATCATCTAAATTTATCGAGGTCTTCGTGAAATTCCTTCAAATCGGCAAGAGGCTGTCTTTTGATATATGTTCATTTATCTGATTTTGGCATTCGAACGTGGGCTTTTATTTATTATCTGCGTGTTCGCCGCTACATTGTTTTGGACGTTAAAATAGATTTTACTACTGCCGTTGTAGGGAATGGACCATCTCCCAAAAAATTTCTAAGGTTTTTCGACCGACACGGATTCGATTCCTGGCCCACCAGGCCGACGCTTTGACCGACTCTCATGTCAGTTTAACAATTGAAAGATGTCATCCGTGTAGACATTAGTCTAAAACTTTTATTTCTGTAAATTCTCCATTCAGTAGAGTTCACGTTGAAGAATGGTCACATATGAACCGAAATTAGAAATCCGATCCGCGATAGAATCGGTTGAATAGTTCCAGATCTTTGGGAACGAATAGAAGCTTTTATGTATAAATGTCATTGTGAGACTAGGACCAATATAAGGAGCGAAGTACTTCTTACAAGTTAGCCTATGCCTTACTCCAATGATTCTCAAACGGTGCGCCGCAAGAGATGGATGGCTAAATATGCCCGGAATATTATGAGAGTATATTTTCAAAATGAGAAGAAACCATTTATTACATCCATCATAAACTAATAACTCGGTTAGACCTATAGTGAACAGCTAATTTATAATTTAAAATATTTTTTAATTTTGTAGGTGAAGTGCACCAGAACATTCTTCATGTTTTGACAATGTGCCACGACCTAAAAAAGCTTAACCATTGACTTATGGCATCGCTAATAAGAGAACGAAAATATATACATGGACTTTAAATACAAGTAGAGTTTACTTTGATTTGTTTGAAACATTCTATTCCATTTTATAGTCCTGAAAAGAAGGTTAAATAGCTGAGCTGTTAAGGTGGCAGTCTACCGCTCTAGGACCCGGAAAACCGGATGGCTCGAAAACCCCGTGGAAAGTGGTCCGTCCCAGATATGTCGGGCCTCGTGAGGTTGCCCCATTGTACGCCTTGTCGAACTGGCGACGGGCTTGATAAAATCTTACTCTTAGTGCCCACAAAATGAAGAGAGTCAAAGAAAGTCCCGAAAAAGGATCTATAAAAACGTCGTTGTCGAAATTTTGGTAATAGATGCAATAGCTTTTTAAGCATTTCTTCAATAATTTATTTTAAAATATTTTGAAGTGAAATCCTTAATCTCTAATTTTATCTTTGCTTTTAAACTCTTTTCCTCTTTGGCGTAGTAGAAGGGCCTTTTATTCATATCCATCATGGGTTCGGTTGGACCACAAAGGGTGAGTTCCGAGACAGGAACCGATATACCACACAGACCTTCCATGAATTATTTATTCTTGAGGATTCCCGACTCGGACTCGTGCACGAATCCTTCGTAACAGTAACTTGATGTCTTTGCAGTCTAGGTCAGGGGTGAACACCCTTGGCACACGTGCCAAACTTGGTACTCCAACGCCGGACTCACATTGAAAATAAATATCCAACATCTTGTTTGCGTTTCGTAATTAATTTATCGGGTTTCTAAAGTGTGTATGTGGATTTTTGATTATTTAAAAAGGTTCTGTCAGTACTTAAAAGACACCAGGAAAAATTCCCCAAAATTTCGGTTAACACGAGAATTTTGCATCATAGATTTGGCATTTTGGCACGCGCACTTAAAAAGCTTGCCCAACCCTGGTCTAGGCCATCCAGCCGTCCTTTTTTTTGTGGTCAGTCACCGAAATAATATATTTATTTAAAAGACTGACTTTTCCACTGCCAAAGTTAACCTTTTATTTGTAAAAGGTTGATTTGTAATACTTTTTCAATAAAATTTATTTTTAATTTAACTGTATAGGAACTTCGTCCGAGAGGGGGCGTGCACGTTCGGAATATGAAGGGACATCGTCTGCTTGAACGTCTGCAGGTAAAATGACGGTTCCTGGATGATTTTATAAAGAATTATAATCTTGTCTTGTAGGAAAGTAAAAGCGTTTCGTTCTCGTTTATACTCCCTCGTGGTGCGGATTATTAGCGTAACTTCTTTAGATATTTATCCCAAAGCAAAGACGAAGGATCTCTTTTCTGACGTCATCACCTCAGAGCTGTACGGTGACGTATCTTCAAAATGAAGATTTTGCTATAGTTAAATTTGGCGACCCCTCGTCCTGTGTAACTTATTTCTCGGTATCTGTGATCAGGAACAAATTCTTATATTAAGATGGTTATATATATATACAGTACATTACTTACAAGGAGTTGCGTAACGTTCCTGACCAAAGTTTAACATCGCGTGTAGCGCCATCTTTTACGAGAATTTATTTTAAAAAGCTTAATTTTGATGGATGGTAGAGACGAGTTTTATATTTAAAATAATTGTAAATGCTAATAACGAGTAAAAATCTTCATTAAGTCAGGCCTCACTCGAGATAAAAGTGAACCCCTAAATTCCCACCCTGTCAGTGTGATGAGACAAACGGTATAGTTAAAAGGCCTCTTATTGGCCTGAATCTTGTCTCTACGTAATACTTGTATTGATATATCTCCTCTAATGTAAGCCTTAAAAAATTTGACCGAATTTAATGGCAGACAATCGTCCGGAATCGCACTGCTATTTTTGCTTTTGTTTTAGAAAGAGATACGACTTCTCGCAAATTTCGAGATCTGAGAAATTTATACGGACACAGGACGAACCCATTTTGTAGCGCGAATTAAGATTAATTGTAATGTATAAAGGCTACTCAAAAGTCAGTTAACTATTGTAATGATTGCATTGTTTTTGCCTTTATCACTCGTATAAACTGTCATTTAACCCAAAAAAGTTGTTCGTCACAATGCTCTAAATTTGGTTTAAGAGCGTGCCCGCACACAATGAAAAATACTCCGTTAACTGACTTTTGGACCGCCCTGTAATATATTCATATTTAGGGTGAATACCGTATTATAATTACAAATGGTCGTAAGATCAAAAATTGTTTCGGGGAAATCAATTTCGGTTTTACATATTGTAGCTTTTGGACCAAGAATTTTGGAACTTGCACTCTCTTCCTCCTAATGTCTAATTGGGCGAGGCCGTACTAAGACACGCCTACTGTTACGTCATTTTCGTACTTTGCACGAGAGAAAAGCATAATCTTATGATTCGTCTAGGCGAGAAGTAAGGGAGCCAATGGCATATCTTACGTAGCGACTAGACAAGCCCTTAAAATTTCGTCACCAATGAAGAAACTTTTGTAGGAATTACGATTTCTACTTCACTTTCCCGTGCATTTAAATAACAATAAACGTCATTCGCAACTCTGCGGTTAATACTGTTACTTAAAAGTTTGCCCTTTAGGTTCGATATAGGCACTCACCTTTTATATAGGATATTTTCAGAGTATCAAAGCACGCCTCACAAAACATTTTAACACAAGTATCTTATTAAAACAAAGGTCTGTACCGTGTAAAACAATGAAGAACACAGTAATTTCACTTTCTTCGATATAACGCTTGTTGGTCTTTATACTTCGGATCGTATCTTTCTTCCAAATCAATCATTCGTCGATGTTACGGTTTTGGATCGCCACTTGCACGTAACGCTTGCGTAAAACGTTTACGCTTTTGGTGGTAACGTAACACGATTAATCCCGTGTAACAGTTATTAAAGGGTTCGGTGATGTTATCACTTTTCGCTCGGAACCACCAAATAGTCGGCAATGTTGCACGAGACGTGCTCGACCATCGTGCAAGCTTGCCATTGCAACTGACGTCAAGAACGAGCCGAATTTTTTCCGCCATTTTAAGAAAAACGTTAACATTTTACGCACGCGTCACGCGGAAGCGAAGGCCACTCTTTTGACATCATTACGCGGATAAAAAGGCGAAAGTATCGAGGCGTAAGACCAGCTCCGAGTGACTTGACAATTCCGCTTCCGGTCCGGAATGCAGACTTTTCCGAGCAAACCGGAAATGCTTCTTACGTAATCCGATACCTTTAGAATAGCGGAAGCACGAGGACGTCATTACAGGCAAGACCCCACGCGTAACGTCATAGAAACGAATCGTCGTTCCCTCTTATGACGCGAAAAAATAGTAATAAACGAGGGTGTAGTGTCGCCGAAAATTCACCAACTTTGTCATTTTTCTAAAGGAATTAACTGTCAATACGGTAAAATCTCCGCTTTAAAATAGACTAGGACCCATCTCGAGTGATATATTCCATTGTAACGAAACAAAAGAAAGATTCTTCTTTCGGCCATCGTCGGATCGAGGACCAATTAGATTCGTTAAAAAAAGAGGAGGCAACCGGAAATGAATGTAGAAAACTGCATTCATTTCCGATTGCCTCCTCTTTTTTTTTTTTTTTTTTAACGAATCGAATCAATCCTGGAGCGTACGACAGCTGAAAGAAGAATGGGAAGGAAGGTCTTTCTTTCAGAAATACGGAAAAGAATTTAAGGTTGACACTTCGCTACTAATTAATAAGTTTTCAAAAAAGACATAAACGGGTCAGAATGTTTCTGCATTCACAATTTTCTTTCATGTAAACACGTATGTGCGAGCTTACAGAAATCCAACACTAAACTTTGCTAATTTATCAACTATTAAGTTGATAAATTAGCAAAGTTTAGTGTTAGATTTTCAAGAGGGATCATGGCACGTGACAAACTTGATCCTAGCACACAAGAAAATTGCTGGAAAAGAAACTGTCCATTCATCAGCCCCCGTCCACATGAGTGTGATTATTTTACATAGAACCCTCACTGAAGTTTTTCTTCTATCTACCGGGTGGACCAAAAGTCAGTTAACACACATGCATATGTTAATATATGCCTATGCCTTTTTAAAATATTAATATAGCCTATTATATTGTTATGAAGGACATAATTAATTCCCCCGTAAGCAATTGCTTAATAATAGGAGAATCTCGTTACGTCTTCATATTTCGGAATATTAAAGATACACTCGTTTTGTCAGACGAGAGTACGCTGTTGTGTCGCTAAGACGTCATTTTGCACATTTTCGTTAAAAAGAAAACAGAGAAATGACGTCAAATTGATACAAAGACGTATTGTACACTATTTTGACAAAACAAATACACCTTAGTCCTGTTCGTAACGTCCAGAAACTATACACTTTAGAGTCGATTTGACATCATCTCTGGTTTTTACAATGAGCGAGTTGAAAAAATGACGTCAAATTGACGTAAATTAAGAATTTCTTGAGCAATGTGTCCTAAAAGATAACATTCGCAATTTAATACAGAGAAAGATCATTCGGGAGGGGCATTTTCCTTTCTAGCTCGGTGCCAAGACTAGAAAAACTGACTTCGGATCGATAGTTCTGTGTAAAGTTTGACGTCACACTGTTACATAGATGGAAACATTGAAGTTGTGCCACTGTCCTTAAGTCCAGAGCCGGCCCTACCATAGGGCGAAAGGAGCAGCCGCTCCAGGCGCTAAGTCCTTGGGGGCGCCTCAGTGGTAAAGAAAATTAAAGGGTATAAATTTGGGGCAACCAAGGGCAGTGGCGTAGCGAGGGGTGCAAGGGGGTGTATCAAGCACCGGGCGCCACTCGCAGAAGGGCGCCCAAATGGTCTCCAAGACAAACTATATGTGTTTCTGGAGAGGGCGCCAATAAAGTGTCGTGCCCAGAGCGCCAGCTATGTTCGCTAAGCTACTGACCAAGGGAGCGCCATAATAGGATCTCGCTCCATCCTAAAACTTGCCTCGGGCCGGCACTGCTTAAGTCCATAATAATACAAGTGCGGGCGCACTGTCGTTATTAAGGGCTTAATACTAAATGACGTTGTCAGCTTTTTGAAGGAAATTTTGGAAGAAAAACAAACGAAAATTGAGTCAAATCCTTTAGAAAAACGTTCACTTTTTCCTTTAAAGGAGACAACTAAAATTTAGGTGCTTAAAGTTTTAGGCCCATCGATTGGTTGCCATTAGAGCAAATTTTCATGTAAATTTGACGTCATTCTTCAGAATTTCTGGACAGATGACGTCGAACTGACGTAAAACTGTGCACTAATCTCAACCAATTGAACAAATTCTTAGATTAGAGAATTTGAGGACCGTTTTGGCCCATTTCTTACGTATGTTCTACCGCACGTTACGAAATTACGATTGTAAAAAGCGAAAATCATCTGAAAATCGATTCCGACGCGAACGCCCTCGGCCCAGTCATTAAAAAAAAAAAAAAACGCGTACGTTTGGCTAAGGGCGGAGCGCCTTCCGATTTCCACTCCTCTCCGGACGCTCGCCTCCCGCCCGCTGGACTGAACACGCATCTAACAGGAGGCTCCGCCTTCTCCGCCGTCCGGATTGGCTTCCGAAGAACACGCCCCGCCCTCTCTCTTCCATCAATTGCGGGGTTAAACTGGACGCTCCAATAATTCGCGACCCTTTTAAGAACGCCCACAATTTCGAACGGGAGAGATTTTAAAAGACCAATAAAAGGGGGAGGGCAGGTTTCGATCGGTGTTTTTTTATTTTTTCTAAAGGGCCCCGTCTTCTCTTCGGTCTTCGAAAGAGTGCGAAACACCACTCGAATGTTCGTACGAACACGACAGGGGAGGGGAGGGAAGGGACTATCTTCAGTTTCGAATCTCCCCATTCGAAATCGTTTGTAATCCCCACTCAAATGGGTTGTACGACGACAAAATCTCTTTCTGGTTTTTCATTTTTATTTTTTTTTTATTTTTTGAAACACAAAAATCGATTTTTACGTCATCTCTCTCTCTCTCTCTCTCAATTCAAACACAGACCGAAGCGCTCTAGCCCCCTCCCGACATTAATTCGGTTCGGTTGGTCGAGACAATGCACGTTGTTTTTACGTAAATTCGACGTCACTCTTTAGTGTTTCACACTAGACCTGAAGATGTGACGTCGAACTGACGTAATGGGCTCTGTCTCGACTAATCGAACGTATCCTTTGTTTAATTAAAGAACGCATTGTTTTAGACTAGACACTTGGAAGGGAGTGTGTTTAAACATCGATTGGCTAGGAAAGTTCGAAAGAAAATGAACTTTTACTCCGTGTTTTTACTCAAACTTTATTTGTCACTTCATTTTCATAAATTGTATTCTGAGTGGTCGATCGATAGTAACGCGTATCCACATCCCACTTATAGCGTAGCGTTCACAAAATGGCGGCGGACGTCTCGGCATTCCTTTAAGCAATCGCCGCCGTCCGTCCACCTTCGTTCGCTCTCTCTTCTCTTCGCCCCTGGGGATCGGGCGGGACAACGAGACGATTCCGCCCCGCACGCGCCGGAAGACGGGAGAAAGCGTTGCCCTTCCGGTTCTGCCGGAACCGGAAGCGTCGCGACGCAGCGCGGCGGACGAGGGAACGAAGAGTGGAAGAGAGCGACGAAAGAAACGAGACGGCGGCGGACGAACACATGTATCGATCGTCGGTCGTGCAGAGGAAAGCGGGAGGAGGAAGCCAGACCGGGAGAGGAGCGGGGATGGCGGAGAGAGTGTGAGGCAAGCGGGAACCAAAAGACAGACGGAGACGGGTCCGGGGAAGGAGAAAGAGGCATCCGGCGAACGGATTCGATCGCAGGACGGAAGTAAAAGAGCTCGGGAAGGACGTACCTTGGCTGCGGACGGGAGGACCGTCGGAAAATTAGGCAGGAGCGGGACGGGACAAGCGGGAAAAGCGACGGCCACCGCGCCGGTCGGTGTATCGCTCCGCCGACCGCTTCGCAACCCCACCGCCTTCTTCCGCCCGGCGGTTGGACGCCTCGGACCGGCGGAATCTAGTGCGCTCCGCCGGAAATGACGCTTCTTCGTCGGCGGAAGAGAAAAGAGCGCGTACCGTTCCGTTTTCGGAAGTAAACGTCGTTCCGCTCGGCGGGAGGAAAGTCGGCGTTAAACGTCACACGATATGTTTAATTAATCGATTTGTGGCGAATTTAAGAAAGTGCAGCGTTCACTGAAAGTCGAGAATTTAAAAAAAAAAAAAAGTGGCGTCCTCTGGCTGAATTTATAGAGTAAAATTATTTGGTACGTTCGGAAAGGAACTCTTAATTGTATTGTCAGAACGCACACTGTATATACTTTTACGTCGATTTGACGTCACTCACGTATGTCTGGGGAAGAGTAAAATCACGTAAGATCCCGAACACTGTTCTGACAAATGGATAGAGTATTTTCGATTACGAAAATTATCGATCACTTCCGAAATATTTTCCTCGCGTAAACGACGTCACCGGGACTGCAACTGACGTCACTGTAAAGTGCAATGCTGGCGCGGAAACGTGATTGAACAAGTGGACAGATGGCTAAAACATGCCAACATCTAGTTAAGGTATCGGCCTACATCTCTGGGGAGGAGGATCGAACCCCCAGAAATTTTTCGGGAAGGTAACCCATTGTGGGCTATGCCGAACCTACGATAGGCTCGATTATAAGGCCCCACAGGCACTGTGAGAAATGCGTGTCAATTTATCATTGGATTTCACGCGATTCCCTTCGCGTTGAATCGAATCCCGAATGAAATATCGCGTAGGGCGGTGCATTGTGGGCCGAGTGATTACGTCCAGAAGGAGCACGCGCGTCGGCGAGAATCGAACCAGGAACCCGTTTAAAAGTCGGGTGGCTATTTATTGAAAATTCGTATTTTACAGTGGAGCGGATTTAAATGGAATCACTTCTTGTAGAGTCGCTTGGATCTCCAATCCAGAAACTCTTCGAACTCGCCATCATCGGCGCTTCCTTCCTCCTCTTCTCGTTCTTCTTCTTCCCCGCTCTTGGACTTCATCAGCTCCTCCTTTCGCTCCTGTAATGCCTCCACTCTGGACCAACGATGGCTGTAATTTAAAATCTTCGTTCAGTTTACCGCAATTCTTAATAACAGCCAAAGCAAACGCACGAGAAGATTCAACGTCACTTCACAAAAACCCGTATATAACGCGAAATTTCGTAACCTTTCGCGCAAGGTATTCATCCACGATATGGGAAACACTCCATTACTCTTAATTCTAAGGAAAAACATGGAGTATTTTTTCCATTATTATTGGTGCAAAGCTCGAAAAGTCTACTTACATCTGTTCGTCGATTTCCGTAATTTCCCTCTCCACATTGCTCTCTTGCATGTCCTCTTCGATTATGGCCTGAGATAGCTGAAAATTGTAAATTAAACTTTCTTAATCTTCCTTCATTCCGTATTTTAATTAGTATTTGACAATATTTCCACGCGTGTATAACAGGTTAAGTTGCCAAAGTCCCGAGGCTACGTATTTGGACCTCGCAGGCCGTGGTTTGCAGGGACTGATTTAAAATAATCTAAGAATCTTCAACGATCAAAGTATTAGAAACGAAAATTACTAAGACTTACATTTGATTCTTCAGCCATTATTTTTTTAAATTTTTCCCATTCTTCTTCCATCGGATCTTTATATTCGACTTTTCTCACCTTAATGAAAGAAATACATTTATGAGTATAACCATCGCCATAATTACTCGTAAACAGGTACAACGAGTGCCCGGGCACGGCTCTAAAATGGTGTATCGAAAAATGATCGACATTATATTTTTAATTTTGCTGTCGTGGGGGTCAATTCCATGAAATTTTTGATTAAAGTTAAAAAACTGCCAACTATTTCTATCATAATTTTTATTTCTTATATTTTTCCCCCTAATAGGAGAGGCCAAAAATAAAATCTTACACGGAGCACACAAACAGCTAGTTATGGCACTGGGTAGAGTAGAAAGATGTATTCATCTTAATTTTAAAGTTATATATATTTTAATTAAAATTCAATATTTTGGAATTTTCCTGTTCCTTTTCATTTGAGTTAGTCTTCCTAAATCAAAACTCCATTTAGTTTAAAAACATTTAAGATTTTAATAAGTGACTGCATTTTAGGCTGCTTTCTGGATTTCTGTCTGCTCCAGAATTTACCTGGATGGGCATATATTTCCCATATCAAAGCAGCCATATCTTTTCGGATGACATCTGAATTTTTCATGGATACCATCTGCCTGTCTCCCCGTACCAAGAATTACCTCCTCTCGCCTGACTTTCAAGTCCAATGCAATGGATAATGTATGTGAGATCTGGAATTTATAAAAACTTAAAATTTTAATTATTTCCACTTTTGTTATATAACGAATTGGCTAGAAACCAATCCTAGCTGAGAACAATTGAAACCCTCCTCCCATTACTATCAGCATTCTATCATTCCCAAACAATCTGCAGTTTGACTTGCATAAAAGTTTATAGTTAGCATTGAAATTTCGTCACTTGTTTTGGTCCCGGGAACACCTATAACCTTTATCGACTATAAGAATCAATCACATGACCGAATTTCCCAGCAAAAAGCTATAAAAGATGCTTCCTTTCCCCGTAGGGGAGTCTCTTAACAAAAGCCGGACCAACGACATCAAATGCCGTAAGAGAAGAATCAACGAACCCGCCATAGCTCCGAATCTCCAATATCAATATCGTCCGTCGCCACAGTCGCGAACTTTTATACTTGTGCTAATTTGGATTACCTAACTTGGATTACCTTTCTTGCTTCTCTCTCGAGCCTGTAAGCGTATAAGCATCGAAATTATTTCTTTAAATAAACCTTATTTTATTGTTAAATAGTGTCCTCCTTTACTCGTATACTGCCTTCGCCTTATTGTCGACCCCGAATTCTTTCCCTACACTTGACCGACACAGAAAAGTCCCGACCATCGGGACCATAAATCGAAACTAACCATCTTGACAAGTGAGCTGGTTTAACGACCTGTTGCCGAAAAGGGAGGTGAGACAACTCCGACCTCCCCGGCGGTTCACATGTATACAGGAAAATTGCCATGCTTTGTTTAATACGACACAGATGAAAAAAAAGATTACAAAACTTTTTGTAACTTCACTTTCGTACTGTATTACAACGTTGTTTTAGTTTACTAAAAACTAAAAGTAAATCTCAGGACCATAACTAAAACAATGTTATCATAATGCCTGATAGAACTGATAAAACACTGCCGCATAGCATATCAGAAACTAGTCAAAGGCACCCAGACAACTAATCACTAGGATTACACAAAGACACATTTGTTCTAGTGCTCTGCTAAGTTGCAACATGGGCAAATGTCTGTACCAGGCCCATAAGCCAGCAACAAGGAATAGGAAGATTTGGGTGATTTGTGGTCTGGACAGAGATTTCAGCAGAACCAATGGATGTTTATCCATTGCAAGGCATGAGATTTTTTACATCGTATGGTGCGAAAAGTCTCGTACTTTGTGACGGGCAAACACCTATATTGAACCAAAGCAGCCTAAAACAGTGATCGGTAGTCATTGCAAGCAGATCATGCTGTGCAATACGCACCAATAATAGATGATTCTGACTATACTACTCGATAATCAATATCAGTCAAAATGAGCTTTGTTAATAACATTCAATTTAAATTTTTTTATAAGAATCCTATTTTATTAATTTTGAAATTTTTCTCATAACCTCTTTGGCAGTCAAGGCCCATAGTTTGCTTGTCACTGACTTTATACATTAAACATATAGATAAAAAGAGCTGAAGAATAAGAATGGCTTGTACCAATTCTTACACTAAGAAATATTCGTGAAGAAGACTTAAATAACACAAACTAGTTTATTTGAATTAAGAATCATATCTTCACCTTCATTAAAAAAAAAAAAAAATGTTATACTCACTTTGGCATCTAATATAGGATTGTCAAAAAATCCTTCTGGCAGTTCATTTGATTTTAGTCTTTCCACTTCTTTTGTCATTGTACTGGGCGTTATTTGTTCCTTCGTTGCATCATCGAAAAAGTCTAAAAATATTCATTTAAATCAATCAAGTAAATGGAAGAGATAACTCTTCCATTTACTTGCAAGGATAGCCAGAAAGTAAGTGTCCCACATTTGTAAAGCCTGATAAAACACTGATAAAAGCTACATACAATAATGCACAGACATTCTATTATTTTTCTATGTAATTGTCATGGCAATTTAAAATTTATTATATCTGGAAATGTGCATTTATATGCCGTAATCAAAGAATTCTTCCAGCAAGATGTAATCTGCTGCTGGGCAAGTTCTATAATCTAGTCATTGATGCTCACTTGTTGACTGGATAAGATGCTCTTTGTGAAAAAAGAGGTGGAAATCTCTGTCTGGGCCAAAGAGTGGATGCTCAAGAATGCCCCATCCAACAATGCATATTTGAAAATGATGATGTATGGTTGGACATTGTCACAAATAAAATAAATTTCCTTTGTGAGCAAACATCATCACTTGTTCTGTTGAAAACTATAGTGATAGTTTCAACATTAATCATTTGACAGAAATTTCACCAGTATTAGTATGAGCAACAAAGGCATCCACAATTGCCACTTTTTTGTACATTATCTCTATCTTCTGTGAATAATGTGTACCCTTTCCTGCCATTGTAAACACTAATTATTTACAATATCTGTAATTTCCTTATGAATTAAAATGCAGGAAACATGTTTCACATTGAAAAATTGAACAATGGTCTCATCTCACTCGTCTTTGACACTCAATCAGGACTTCTGATAATGGAACACACAATTATTCACAGTAGTGCATTACAGTTTACTGTGCATGGTACACATGAATAGATGTATTACGCCACCACCCTTCAATGCAGAATAAGGGAAACTTACTTTCTTGATACACATCATAAAAAAAAATTATAAATAATTAAGGTATTTTTTATTCTATCAAAACAATAATATAGTATTACATTTTGATCGAGAACAAAGCATTTAACTTATGTAATCAAATACTAAATGCTTCTATTGTTACCAGCTATGGCTACTAAAAAAAAGATGAAAGTGCCAGTGGCACCAAATGTAAACACAAATCCATATTTAATATATGCTTAATTTACATTTCTAATATTCCATAGTGCTCCAGGAATATGGAAAGCATTTAATTAGAGTTTCAGGATATAGCGTAAAATTATTATTATGTGGACTCGGTCTGGCAAAACCACCAAATTTGGCAAGGCTTTGGAACTAAGCATGCCAGAAAATTGGCAATTGATCTGTATCAGCAGTAATTTATAATTCTGTTCTAATTTTCTCTCAACACTTCATAAATAAATAATGAAATTATTTTTATTACTATTTGAACATATTTTGACACAAAAAACTATAACGTTTATTTGTGTTTAGTGTAGGATTGTATTTGTTAATTTGTGTATTTTATATAGCCTGAAACCATGTATTATATGGCCCAATTTCAGCTTGCAAGCTGCAAATGGCTTTTTGATCCTTTCTATGATTCTCTACAGAGTACTAATACAATTCCTTTTTATATATTAATACTTGAGACATACTACTTATACATATATAATATTTTTGTAAGTTTGCCAACTATTACATATATTATATACACACACACAGATTTAAGAATAACTCGCTAGCTACCCAAATGTACACAACATAATGTAACTGATATTTATTATAGAACAGTGATAGCTATAATGTTTTAATTGTATACGCAGGTGCTCCCCTACTTACGAACAGGTTAGTTTCCAAGGTTTTGTCGTAAGTCAAAAACTAACCTAGAAAGTACATTTGTACACTAAATAACCACATATTGTTAGTGTTTGATTCTTCAATATATTTAATAAAATACATTATGCTTGTTTACCTGCTTGCTACTGCTTAGTTGCAGGTGTTCCAATGGCAGTTTTTTTCATCTAATGTGCTTAGTTTTATAATGTCAAGTTTAGTTTCCACGGTAATAGAGTGACATTTCTTGCATTTATCACCACTGTTAGATTTACTATTACATTTTGGATGCATTTTTGTAGTATTAATTGTAAAAGTTTATAAAAATTGCAAATAATAGCAAAAACACTGTTACTCCAATGTTACCAATTTCTCCGTCACCTCACCAGCAGTGACGGAACATCAGAATTTGCATGAAAATGAAAAATGATGATATGCAATAGAAATAAGTCCACATTAATTATTTATTACTGGATAAAGAATGACTTTAAGAATGACTTTGTTAAAGTCATTCTTCATCCCATTACTGACAAGAGAACTTCCAAATTTGTGTGAAATTTAAGTTTTAGATGTACAATCAAATTGTTCATAAGTCTGAAAGTTTTTAAGTAGGGTGCTCCCATATACCAGTATAATACTAATAGAGAATACATATCTCTGATAAGTGATATATCGCTCCTACATGACAAGGTTTGGCCACTTGTTGTATACAACATATAAAAATATATATACATACCTTTAGGAAGATTAGACAATTCTGCTAAGGATTCCTTTGTAGTATTTTCTTCCAAAGAACAATCTTCTGAAAATATAGCAGGTGACTTCGTTTTAGCATTAGAATTTGGTATCCTATATTAATAATTTATATCAAAATTAAATTATATATTTTCTAACAAATTATTTTATTAATTAAAAAGTGAAGAATTATAATTTAAAATTTCTATGACTAGATTTTAACAACAATTTATCAGATTTATTCAACAACAAATTTTTATATAATCTTTTAACAATGAAAATCATTTAATAAAACACGATTTACAAAGGGTGGTTAGAATTAAACTGACAATACTCATACACATGTGGAGCTAGCTCTACTGAACTGAATGAAATGAAACTCAGTACGCATGCAATTCAGATCACAGGGAAGGAAAAGATTTATGGAAGAAAAAAATTAGTTGAAATGTTCATCACCAGAGAAAATGTGGTGCTGTGGAGTCAAAAACGTATTTTCTGGCTGTGGAGTTATTTGAAAGATCATGTTTATTGGGGGCATGTCAGAGCTGAAGGCCAGAATGGTGCATCATATCTCCTAGATTCCTCTCGAAACGTGTGTGGCAGTCGATAACATGGTCAACAGAGAAGATCCTACAGCGAGCACATACTGTAAATGTGTAAAATGTAACTTTATTCTTCTAATAAAAATTTGTCCACTTGTCTTATAATTGTCATCCTTACAGTGCCACATTTTCCTGATAGTAAAAATTTCAACTACTTTTTTCCCTTGTAATTCTTTTCCATGATCTGCCTTGTGTGTACCAAATTTCATTTGATTTATTCGGTATAATCAGCTTCATGCGTGTCTGAGTATAGTTTAATTCTAACCACCCTGTATATCACAGATAAATTTAAACTCAAATAAATTTAAATTATATTTCATCACATATTATAAATAATTAAATTTTTATATATTAATATATAAATGTATGCAACTAATTTTGTTTAGACTCTTTCTGTCCTGCAGGCACTAAGAGGGCCTTTGTTCAAGCCTATTGTGGGTTTGGCAAGGCCCACAATGGGGCAACTGTGTGATGAGGAACATATCCAAGATAGATTCCTGGAGTTTTTTGACTAAGTGGATTTTATCCCAGGTCCCCCAAAGTAATAGGCTGCTGACTTAACCGTCTTGGATGGCCAAGGCTGTTAAGGCAGCAGCCTACTACTTTGAGGCAATGATGGCAATGGCAATGAGTGTGTACCATTATTCATTACATATGGTTACATGGTACAGTACATGCTCATTTATACAGGTATGTTTCCCTTGTCAAGCAGCAAGTAAACAAATCACAATTGACAATTTAACTAACAAGTGGTGCTCGTTTGGGCTGACTTCATTTTCAAGATTTTTGTGCATCATTTCAGAGATTGGCTGATGATATAATAAATGGTATAATTTCAGTCACAGAGGAGGACAATTACAAGAATCTGCACTTACTGAATATTGTGAAAATTAATGTATTTATTAATTAATGTAATTATTGTAATATTCTAATTTATCTCTTTCCAAAATAAAATTTTCTTTCAAATTCTCCTTTTAGGCTTATCATCATTTCTAAATTTTGACGAGGCATTACTTAAAACTAAATACAGATAATTCGTCACAATTACAATTATGATAATATCAATTTTCTATTTAAGCTACAATCCTATTTGGCACTTCACTCTTCTACATTGACTATAAGCCCTTCGAGGTCAGAGTGACGCACCATGGTAGCGTGAACAGGATTGCATGTATGATGACTGACATCTTTTTAATGCAGTATTGTTTTGTCATAGTGTGAACCAACCTTAATAGGAATTTTATTATTATATCCATTCGACGTTTGATCAGACCATAAGGAATAGAGTCCAACATATCTAGGTCAGACCATTTGTGAAAATTTCTAGTTATCCTCAACAATTTTCATGAGTGTTTGCTCTGAATTCTAATCTGTCCTCAGAATGATGAGTACACACCTTAAAAATTTTTGCCATCTGACTGTTAAATCATTCTTAGATTTAATAGATTTAGAACAGTGGTGTAGTTGTAAACAGTGTCAGGTCGCTAAAAATTACTTATTATTCCTTCACTTTTATTATTATTAAGATTTTACACTTGTGTAAAATCTTACATGAGCATTTGTCGATTTTATTTGGTTTTTATTTTATTTGTACAAAGTACTGAAGAAAACAATTATTACAAATTAAATTGTAATGTCTTAAACATAATATTGATGAGTTATTCAAACAGTTTCCACAATTTTTTCTTTTTCCCTAATTTGCATACTCAGTAATTGTGAGTGAGAATACTCCACTGCACAGTAATGAAGTAGCCACATCTTTACCATAGGGTATGATGTTGAATGATTGAAAAGGTGGTCCATTTATTTTGATGGAAAGCAGAGATGCAACTTTCCATATTGGCTGATGGAAACAAAGTTGTGATGCTATTTAGTTCACTGCACTGAATCTCCTTTCACACTCACTGCTACTGATTGGAATAATTTTTAATATATTTATCAATTTAACAATAGTTTGTAGAACTTGTCTTTTGCCTTTGTGAAAGTATTCTTAAAGACTATTTGTTATTATATTTCTATTTTCAGAACAGAATTGCCAGAACATTGTCTTTGCATTCATCTCTCCAAAACATACATCTTTTCTGGTACCTGTATCTGTTGGCCATGTTTCTGGGTTGAGGACATTGCAATAGGAAAATATTGCAATAGGATTCTGTATTCCTTTACTTCATTCCCATTGATAATTTTTGACAAGATGCTACTGTTGCAAAGCAGCACAATAGTAATTATTATAGTAAATTACTGACAATATTTGCAAGAAAGTGGGCATAGTTATTGCTAACTGTTGTGTGTTATGCTTCTATGAGATGCCTTTATAATTCAGGACTTCCAATGCTTTTATGGTTTAGTGATATCTGCATTGCAAGTTTCATAAGAATATTGCAGACAGGGATTAGAAAAATGTCAAACTGCCAAAGTTAACACTTTCAATTGCTATCACAACTCAGGGCATTTTTTTTTTCGAAAAAGCAATAGCTTAATAAATTGGATAAACAAGCTAACTTGTACAGCAAGAAATTAACTATCAATTTTTTAATTAACATTTAGTTATATTTTGTTTGCTTTGTAGAACATAGAGGCTAGGCATGTAACTATACAGTGTTGGGAGGTGGCACCAGTGGCACAAATATAAAATATCTGGAGGCAGTGGAATAAATTGAAATACAGTAGTCCTGAAAACTCGGCACTTGATAACCCGACAGTCCGGATAACTCGGGCACACCCTGGCAGGGCAAAAAATCCCCTAGTTAATTTTCATTATAGACAGCTTTAGGCCTCAAAGTATTTTTCTGAGGTCTGTCTTAGCAGGTAAATTACTGTACACAGTGTATTCATTAATTTTCATTTTCATGTAGTAAAGGCTCTATGCCTTCATAAAGTACGTACTTTCCTTTGTTTAAGGGTATTTGGGCAGTTTATTCTCTGTTGTACTCTCAAGCAAACAATACATACAAGTACTGTACAGTACAGTATTTTCTGAGGAAACACTCGAACTTATTCTTTTTTAACCCCATTCACGATAACCCAGCATTTTCACAAACTCGGCCACCCTTCGGTCCACATTAAGCCGAGTTTTCGGGACTCTACTGTAATACCGAGTTTGAATTGCCACTATTTATGGAGCATGTATGGGGTTTTGTATGAGCAAAGCAAAAATTTGTGGCATAATATTTGCAAAATAGATAAAATGAATAAAAAATTATCTATATACTGAAAATCCTTGTTAATTTGAACTCGAATAGTTTACAATCCCGTTAGTTCGTAACCATACTATTTGTCCCAGCCAGGGATATAGAGATTTACACATTAAGGAATTCAATTAGTTCAAAATTCATATTGAATATTCTGCTCAAACTGTGATACATGAATGTTAACTTGTTCATTTTTAAATCAAAGTGTCTCCATACTGTAATAAAACAATAGACCAAGAACATCTGTAATCTGGTCAATATGACTTTGCTTTTACAGTAACACACTTTTGGGTATCACCTTACACATGGACTACCCTTTCTTCTCTTATCTCATAAAATATGACTGGGTTTTCAGGATTGCAAGATTGGGCTACAAACAACAGATTGAGATACTTGTAGAGCTCTAGGCTAGTACATTTGAGCTACTTACTACTTTTTGGGCCACTTTAAAAATAGTTTGAGCTACATTTCAAGGAATTCTGCTTTACTTTTTATAAAACTTATCTGGTAACCTGCGNTAATCGTCGCTATTGTATCATTAAAAATTATTTTAAAATTATTTTATTGCTCACAAAACAAACAACCACTCATAATTAGAAAATTAAGTCTCGTTTAAATACTGGCCTCCTTTCAATGGTCGAGCCATTGTTGCCAGCTAAAAACAGACAAAAATTTAACAAAAATAATATTAAAGTAGCCAAGACATAGCCAAATATTGTAGTGCCACATCACTAGCAGACATTTGACATTTGCCAACTAGAACGGTCGGTTAACCGATGTGATGGTTAATCGGGGGTCGGATAATCGATGCTCTACTGTAACACTTTTTTTGCTAATAAATATAATGTAATATATACAACCAACCTGATAATTACTTCAGGTTGTTTTATTGAGCTATAAGGCTAAATTATTACTAAGCAATTTGGCAGGAGGCAGACCACTATCTCTTGTTAAATACTTCTTCCAGAATATTGTAAAATTATATTTAACAAGAGATGGTGGCCTGCAGGCTCACCTCCTGCCAAATTGCTTAGTAATTATTTAGCCAATAAAGGAATTTGGCTGTTCATTTGATATTTGATAGATATAATGTTTACATTCACAACATAAATAAACACAGACATAAGCAAACAGAAATATATCTATTTCCTTCTTTCAACAAACTAATTCTTTTCTTATATATAATAAAATAAATTTAATAACAGATTTAAAAGTACAAATAATTATCAAAGATGAATACCTATCAGAACAAACTGCTGATTCTTCTGAAATTTTGGGCAATTTTTCTGTAAAAGTAAAATAATTAAAATAAGAAAGAGTACAAAAATTTTACTGTAAAAAAAAAAACAACAACAATTACAGTCATTTTGAAACAATAATTTCAATATCAGNAAAATTATTTTAAAATTATTTTATTGCTCACAAAACAAACAACCACTCATAATTAGAAAATTAAGTCTCGTTTAAATACTGGCCTCCTTTCAATGGTCGAGCCATTGTTGCCAGCTAAAAACAGACAAAAATTTAACAAAAATAATATTAAAGTAGCCAAGACATAGCCAAATATTGTAGTGCCACATCACTAGCAGACATTTGACATTTGCCAACTAGAACGGTCGGTTAACCGATGTGATGGTTAATCGGGGGTCGGATAATCGATGCTCTACTGTAACACTTTTTTTGCTAATAAATATAATGTAATATATACAACCAACCTGATAATTACTTCAGGTTGTTTTATTGAGCTATAAGGCTAAATTATTACTAAGCAATTTGGCAGGAGGCAGACCACTATCTCTTGTTAAATACTTCTTCCAGAATATTGTAAAATTATATTTAACAAGAGATGGTGGCCTGCAGGCTCACCTCCTGCCAAATTGCTTAGTAATTATTTAGCCAATAAAGGAATTTGGCTGTTCATTTGATATTTGATAGATATAATGTTTACATTCACAACATAAATAAACACAGACATAAGCAAACAGAAATATATCTATTTCCTTCTTTCAACAAACTAATTCTTTTCTTATATATAATAAAATAAATTTAATAACAGATTTAAAAGTACAAATAATTATCAAAGATGAATACCTATCAGAACAAACTGCTGATTCTTCTGAAATTTTGGGCAATTTTTCTGTAAAAGTAAAATAATTAAAATAAGAAAGAGTACAAAAATTTTACTGTAAAAAAAAAAACAACAACAATTACAGTCATTTTGAAACAATAATTTCAATATCAGTTTATAATTACTGTATATGCTGGCATATAAGTTAATTCTTTTAAGACTGAAGAATCTCTCGAAAACTACAGTCGAATTACATGGAAAATATAAAATACAAGCCTTTAATGTAGGGTTGCTAAGCGGAATGGCACTCCTAACAATTGCTGACACCACTTACGGCAATGCCAGCAAAGCATTACAATATTTCCAACAGAGACTCACAATATGTTGTACAAATTTTTAGCAAATCTAAACACAATAAGTGAAATTTCGGAATAGCTGTACGCTGAAGGGAATTCTACATTAATTATGAAAGTAATAACTTATTTAAGCATTACTTTCTATCACTGAATTCTTTGTTTTTTTCTATGCTATACATTTGGAACTTACTGTGCACCATTAAAAATCAATTCCAAATGCCAAGTATGGCACACAACTAATTTTCAAAGGTGCAATTGATACATATTATTTCATTTTCATTACCAGTTTTTGATGATGGTTTGTATTCTAATTTCAGATATTATTTTATTTGATTTTTGAGTGTAATAATCTCAAGTCTAAAAACTTTTCTGATGTAATTTAAAATATTTAAATAAGTTTCCGAAGTTCATATATACATTTTTAATACTGTTATGATAAATTTCTGCAAAAATTTTCATAAATAAAAAGCAAATAGTGTAATAAAAGAGACTTTTTATAAAATTTTCATTACAAATATAAACATCTATAAGCACAGTAGTTATATTAAAGCAAAGTGATTGCTGGATTAGATCGTGCTATTTACTGCTGCTATTAATAATTAAATGTCAAGCAATAGAGGTAGGTGTTAGGTGCCATCTCTTATTAAATTTAGTAATTATAAATAAATTAATATTTATTAATTAACTTTGAGGGTTCTGGAAGAAAAGAATTAGCTCAGAATGAGACTCACACCCACAACAGCCGCTTACTGTGTGAATGTTGGTTATGCTACCCAAACCTTCGTCTGATCTTCATTTCCAGAATTATTAATTTAGATATTATTATTAATGGTAGCAGTAATATAACTTGATCTAATCTGGCAATCGCTTTGCTTTAAAAGTTTCATTATTTTGTTATAATATAAATTTGATATCATGAAAATTTTTATACCTTTTATTTCATCTTCTTCTATTTGAGTATCTTCATGTTTTCTTTTTATTTCGGGCTTCAAAGGTTTCTCTGTATTTATCTGTCGCCNTATGTGAAAAAAAAAAATATATATATATATATATCTGATTTGGACCTGTTAGTCAGTATGATAATAAAAAATAAAGTTGTGAATTTGAAGTTTGATTTAATAAAATGATGAAATCAAAAGATATTGGCAATTTTTTAACACGATTGTTCAATTTTTTTCTTTTTTATGAATTATCATATTTTATGGCATATAAGACATGGCTTTTGTTAAAATAATGGCTGTCTTATATGTGAAGTTGCATTCCCCTTTTGCTAATGAATTTTCTTGTATTTAGGAAAAATGCCTTCAGTAGGCTACAGGTAACTTCTCCCTAGGCCAACTCTTGAATTGTTTAATTAAACATTATTATTTCTTAAAAAAATATTTTACTAAACAAAAAAAATGTTCACCTTATGACGAAAAGTTCCACAATTGATGAAGTCTCTTTGCCCAACCTTTCTCTATAGGCTACTGTTGGAGTTGTTGCTTTATCTTCTCCCTGTAGTCAATCTCTGTTGGAACTGTTCTACTCAATTTACATAATTATTTACAAATTTCTTAAAAATGTAAAAAACAGATCGACCGAATTTGAATACAATGGAAAAAATTTGGGGCAGAGTGCAAAATGCAGGATAGTTTAGATGATCCTCAATCTTGATTCAATTCAAATATATCCAANAATATAAAATTATACAATTCAAAAAACATCAAAAACATTAGAAGAAAGCTTTAATGATAACAACAGAACAAACAATTCAAACGAATAACTGATTATATCATTAACTGAAAGGCAACAAACCTTTATATCAGCACTTATTATGTTTAAAATCTGAATATGAGTCAAAAATGCTTGTTTTTAAATAAATTAAGCTACAAAGATACATCTCTTTTTGGAAAAAATAGCTTCATCGATGAAAGTTACATTGCAACGACATTGCAACGAGAAATATGGATTTATATCGAAAATTTTTATACCTTTTATTTCATCTTCTTCTATTTGAGTATCTTCATGTTTTCTTTTTATTTCGGGCTTCAAAGGTTTCTCTGTATTTATCTGTCGCCTTTTCAAGGCCTCTAATTTCTGTTTAAAGGAGAAAAAGGGATATCATATAATGTCTCTTTTTCTAAAAGTAAGTACAAATACAACTAAAAGTTATCTTATTTTTATGTTTTATACATAATACAGTCTATCTATATGTTTTATATGAATTCCATGTTGTACGAGTCACTTAGATTTTACAAATACATGTGCCAGGCTGTTAATGGCTCACATATTTGTAAAATCTAAGTGACTCGTACAACATGTAATTCATATAAAAAGGAATTATCAATAGTGTTATAGGGGGGTCGATTGTAGTGTCAAAATAAACTGATGTTACCTAGCAACAAATGCAATTGCAAGCATGTGTGTATTCAAACATTATCTTAGGCATGTCAGTACTTGTTCAATATAAGGTACATGTCTATATTTGGATGGATTAAATGCAAATCACAGCTGAGATGGTTAAGGCTTCAGGCTATCACTCTGAGGGCCTGGGAGTGAATCCAAGAGTTAAAAAACTTTAAGAATTTTTAGATGTGATCTGTCCTGGTTATATCAGGTCCCATCACTCATCCCCCATACGTCCTATTGTGGGGCTGGCTAAACTCGCAAGGGGCCTAAAAGAATGGCTCTCTTAGTGCTCAGAAAGCAAAAAAGAGTAAAAAATATACAAAACATCAAAAATATTTGAAGTAAATAGGTATGTGCCTTCAAAATTCTAAAATGAAGCATCACAAGTGGCAAACCAACATTAATTTCTGCATCAAACTAGGTAAAAATTTTACCAACACATTTAATCAGTTTAAAGAAACATACATTAATGATATCATGTTTCTAATGGCCAAATAGACAAGTGGTTAAGGTGCCAGCCTATACTCTGGGGAATTGAATCCAGACGAGTCAAAAAAACTCCAGGTATTTTTCAGGGTGGTCCATCCAATTATGTTTAGCCCCATCCCTCACCACCCTGGCCCCACTGTAAGCCTGGCCAAACCTATAATTTAACAAAAAAGTTATAGAACTAACTTTTGAATTATCCTGTAGAAGGGTCACACTGCATAGTGTCTAAATTGTCATTTGGTCATATTTTTATTAAATCGGGATAAAAATATAATACAGGCAATTGCAAGTGGTGATAAAAACCCTAGTCCGCTTGTTTTGACATTTGGTGTGAAATTAAATCACAAATTACACTTTGGGAAGAACAGCAAAATGTTGAGCTTCTGTACAATGGGAGTCCCGTGCACCACACACCTAGTGGTTTCACAACGTCACGTGGCAAATTCAGACAGAAAAGAAGGAAGTGACGTTGAGAACCAAAGGCAGTTTTTGTAATGCCACTCAGAGTTTCAAGATTGGAGATTTTTTATTGACTGACAGAAAATTTGGGGACTTTTTTGGGATAACTTTCTTTCACTTTGATCTCTTTTTAGTAGACTAAAAAAAAATTTTGACATATTAGAGCCTGTGAAATACTGTTTAAACATTGTGATCAAATGTGTTATTTGAAATTATTCATTAAAAAATTATTAAAAAATGATTCCTAGTGCCAACAAGGAGAGGGTTACATGCTCAGCAGGTTTCGTTCAAATTAGAGACCCAAATGTCCGATCCTCTTTTCCTAAGTGACAGCTTAATGTGTTACTTTTGCTTTCCAGACAACAAACTGATAAGGATACTGGCACTTGCATTAATAAGTAAGTAAAACTAGTGACAATAAATAATTTGAAGAGGCAAAAAAATTTAAAACTGGCAAGTTGTTGGCAATATTTTAAAATTTTCCAGAATGACCCCTGCCCGTATATATTTTAATGCTAGCTAGTTACATAACTAAAAGATATACAAGGTCTGTTCAAAAAGTATCGGACCTTTGGTCGGCAAAAATAAATTTATTGACTTTGAGGTACAAAACCCTAATCCCCTTCAAAGTAGTCTCCTTGGTAATGTATACACTTCTCCCAGCGTTCCTGCCATTGCTGGAAACACTGCTGGAACGCATCTTTTGGAATGGTTATCAGCCGGTCCGTCGCATTTCGCATGATGTCTTCTCTCGACTAAATTTGGGTTCCTTTTAGCGGCATTTTCAGCTTGAGAAATAGCCAAAGGTCACACGGAGCCATGTACGGAGAGTACGGAGCGTGACGAACCACAGGAGTATTGTGTTTGGCGATGAAAGCCCGAATCAGATGCGCAGAATGGGCAGATGCGTTATCACGATGGAGCTAGCAAGTTTCGATCGACCACAGATCCGGTCGTTTGCGTCGCACTGTATCGGAAAGACGACGAAGGACCTCCAGGTAGTACTCCTTTGCGATGGTTTGGCCTTGTGGTGCGTACTCACGACACACCACCCCACGAGAGTCGAAAAAACTGTCAACATGACCTTTGATATTGCTACGGATCTGCCACGCTTTTTTTGGCCTCGAGGATCGTCCCCGAAAGCCTGCTGAATCTTGCGAATGGTTTACACACGGGTATCGCCAAGGTTTTTGGCAAAATTTGATGTAATATCGCTGCTCACGTTGTTCAGGCATTTTCCAGCTTAGTGAAATCTGACGAGAGCTCACTACATGACCTCACTCATAGGCCGATTGCCAACGACTGACGCTTCCTGAAGGCGGGAAAAAATTCAGGGCTGTGCATGACTGTCCCCTCCACAACTCCACCGAAGGAGGTCTCTCGCGCATCATTGGTTTACGCGGAAAAAAAAAAGTCCGATACTTTTTGAACAGACCTTGTAATGTTAATTATATAAATGATTCTAATATATACTGAAAATTAATATTAAAAAATAAAGAAAATAAAACATTCAAAATCTTACTTCTTTGTGTGTCTTTCCTGTTATATGAACAGACCATAAAGCTTCACTCTTGAGGGAGACATCACAAACAATACACGTTAATTGTCCAGTACTGTTATATGTAATATATTAAAGTCCTCTACATAAATGCTATGAAATTAATATAAAATTATACAATTCAAAAAACATCAAAAACATTAGAAGAAAGCTTTAATGATAACAACAGAACAAACAATTCAAACGAATAACTGATTATATCATTAATTGAAAGGCAACAAACCTTTATATCAGCACTTATTATGTTTAAAATCTGAATATGAGNAGAACAGCAAAATGTTGAGCTTCTGTACAATGGGAGTCCCGTGCACCACACACCTAGTGGTTTCACAACGTCACGTGGCAAATTCAGACAGAAAAGAAGGAAGTGACGTTGAGAACCAAAGGCAGTTTTTGTAATGCCACTCAGAGTTTCAAGATTGGAGATTTTTTATTGACTGACAGAAAATTTGGGGACTTTTTTGGGATAACTTTCTTTCACTTTGATCTCTTTTTAGTAGACTAAAAAAAAATTTTGACATATTAGAGCCTGTGAAATACTGTTTAAACATTGTGATCAAATGTGTTATTTGAAATTATTCATTAAAAAATTATTAAAAAATGATTCCTAGTGCCAACAAGGAGAGGGTAACATGCTCAGCAGGTTTCGTTCAAATTAGAGACCCAAATGTCCGATCCTCTTTTCCTAAGTGACAGCTTAATGTGTTACTTTTGCTTTCCAGACAACAAACTGATAAGGATACTGGCACTTGCATTAATAAGTAAGTAAAACTAGTGACAATAAATAATTTGAAGAGGCAAAAAAATTTAAAACTGGCAAGTTGTTGGCAATATTTTAAAATTTTCCAGAATGACCCCTGCCCGTATATATTTTAATGCTAGCTAGTTACATAACTAAAAGATATACAAGGTCTGTTCAAAAAGTATCGGACCTTTGGTCGGCAAAAATAAATTTATTGACTTTGAGGTACAAAACCCTAATCCCCTTCAAAGTAGTCTCCTTGGTAATGTATACACTTCTCCCAGCGTTCCTGCCATTGCTGGAAACACTGCTGGAACGCATCTTTTGGAATGGTTATCAGCCGGTCCGTCGCATTTCGCATGATGTCTTCTCTCGACTAAATTTGGGTTCCTTTTAGCGGCATTTTCAGCTTGAGAAATAGCCAAAGGT